ATGATAGCATAGTGCTCAAGCTTCTCCTGGGGGTGCTCTTCTGAGGGTGTTCAGGTTGCTTCTGGAGCCATGGAGTCTTGGCACTGGAGGATAGGTCCAGGCAGGCCATCTTGTGGCCATGATTGCCTTTCAGCATTGCCTTCTTGGCTTTCAAAGCCTTTGCCTTGGCTTCAGCTTTGGGAAGGGCAGGAGATTCCTTCTTTGCTTTTGGTACCATCTTGGTGAAAAGGACCATGATGATCATTTTTATTTTATTTTTTTAATTTTTTAGTTATAGATGGACACAATATCTTTACTTTGTTAATTTATGTGGTGCTAAGGATTGAACCCAGTGCCCCATGCATGCAAAGCAAGTGCTCTACCACTGAGCCACAATCCCAGCCCCACCATGATGATCATTTTTAATGCTGTAAATCTTCCGTCCAGAGGGCATGTCACCATTTGATTAGCCATTTACTGAACACTTGGGCTACTTAGTTTTTCCCATGAGTGTTGTCATGCTGCGGTGCAGACCTTCTTGCACATATATAGTTTTACTTCTTTTTGGTTATTTCCTCTGGATAAATTCCCAGAAGAGCCATTAATGGGGTCAAAGGCTTAGAACATTCTTGTGATTCCTGAAACATATAGCATTTAACTACTATTTTGGGGAAAGCAGGCTCTGCCTGGGTTCTGGGGAGACCAAGTCACATTCATCAGCTGTAGGCCCCAGAGCAATCCTAGCCACTCTGGGTGACCCTCTTCCCTTCCCACTGCACCCCTCTGTGGGACCCACCAGCAAGTATACTTAGATCCCTGCCTCCTTCCTTCCCCAGGAACACAGGTGATAGGGTTTTGGAGTTTTTAACATAGGCCCCAAGAATGGTTATCAGGGATCCTTTACCTGTGTAAGACTGTTTTTCTAGAAGATCCACAGTTAATATCACACACCCTTCAGAAGGGCTAAGACTAAGAAAGGGTTTAGATGCTCTGAAATATAAGGGCCAGCAAGGTCTAGTGCCAGTAGAAAGACACCAACAAAATGGGTTTAAATGAGAAGGAAGGAACAGGGTAGGGGCCAGGGGCTTTCTGGAGAGGTGGCACATGATGGGGTGTTGAAAGGTGTGGGTAGGGAGGGGTGTTCCAGAGAGAGTAATGTCAGAGTGAGGTGTGGTGGCACACACCTGTAATCCCCCAGTGAGGCTGAGGCAGGAAGATCACAAGTTTGAGGCCAGCCCAGGCAACTTAGCGAGACCCTGTCTCAGAATAAAAAGAGCTAGGGATGTAGCTCAGTGGTAAAGTAGCCATGGGTTCAATCCCCAGCACCAAAAAACAAAACAAACAGAGTGATGTCAGAAGCAGAGCTGGACAGGGAGGGGTGCAGAGAAAAGCGAGCATTCCCCCTTGTCTACACTGAGGGCCCTGGGGAAAGCAGTGGGTGGTGGAGGCAGGTGGCCAGGCTGAGGGTGCATGGAGCAACAGCAGGGGGAGCCAGGGAGGGAGCTGTGTACAGGGGCGTTGAGGAAGTTCAGATGCCAGGTAGAAGGTGGATTGAAGGGGAGGACCAATAGGCCTGGTGCCAGGGAGGCCTGATTAGAGGCTGGGGATGGGGTGTGGCTCAGTGGTAGAGTGCTTGCCCAGGATGCATAGGCCCTGGGTTCTATCCCTAGCACCTCAGAAAAGAAGAGTCCCAGCTCCTTGCTGCCCACTTGGCCTCTTCCCTCCCTCTCATCTCTACCTACCTGATGTCATTTCCTGCCCCTACACCCACAGCCACCTGCTTCATCCATTTTTTCGTCTATTTCCATGTGCCCTGTCCCCTGGGTATACCTACTTTTTATTAAAACCCATCTTGTTATCAGAATGACTTAAGGTGGACTGTTTGTACTTAACCTTGTGAGGCTGACTGTGAGGTTTCCATAAACCACAGAGGTAAATTGGTGGCCTTAAGTTACAACCTCAGCTTCTTTCTTATGCCTTTAAAGTTGATATAACCTCTTAATCTTCAGAGCTCATATTTGCTCTTGAAAATTGTTATGGAAATATATCATGCAAAAAGTTAAAAGTTCCCACCATCCCACCCCAGAGAGAAGCTCACAGCCTGTCACTTGTGTGAACTTTCCGAGGCACTTATGTTTGGGGCTCTAGGGCTGCCCTGATTTGTGTTCCTGCCTTTACTCTCGATTCATTGACAGTCCTGGAGTCCAGCCCCAAGCAGGAGGCGGCATGTGTGGGCTATCCCTGAGGAGGACTGGCAGTGTTTAGAGGCAAATCAGGACTGTGGTCAGGGACATGTAGCTCCTCACAGGACCGGATTGGACTCTGGTATCCCTAAGGTTCTATAGGGAGTCTAAAGGGGCTTTACTGGAGGGACAGGGCTCTGAAATAGAAGGCAGAAAGGCCTGACCGTGTGAGCCCTGGCTTCTGGGGTGTGTACAGGTGGCTGGAAGGACAGGAGAGCCTTCCCAGACCTGTGTTCCACACCCCTCCCTGGTGAACCTGGGTGGGCCTCCCACTCCTCGTGCCTCTATGCCTTTCATACTTTAGCAGTCTCCCTGTGTGAGCACGTGGGGGTTTGGGGTGGAGGAGGAAAAAGTGGGGGGCTGAAGACTTGAATGGAAGACAGGATCTTTCTTTTGTGTCCCCTTAACCATCCCTTCTGCACTAGACAGCTCATGAGGCCTGGCTGAGTGACCAGGGGTTTCTGCTGACCCTGGGATACCCCACTGGGACTAGAACACCTGTGGCCCACCTGGATGCCCAGAGGAAGACCATACCTCCTCTTTTGTGAGACATCTGCCATCTTGACATCCTCATTCACACTTTTATCAAAGTGATATAAGAAAGGCTGAGGTACCCTGAGCACTTCCTGAGAGTCACACTTTATAGTAATCAGTTACCTAGTCCTGTTTTACCACTGAGGAACAAGGCACAGGAGAGTATGGTGACTTGCCCAGTGTCACGGAGGGAGTGTTGGCAGGCTGGGGCCTGGGCTGGCCGCGACACCCAGGGAATGTTCTCCTAACCCCACCAGTTCCTGCCCTTGTGAGCCTCATGTGTGCCAGGCAGAATGCTTCCTGTGAGCTGGGAACCCCAGACAACTGAGCCCAGAAACCCAGCCCCAGCACTTGCTGCTGAACTCTCATCCCTGGCTGCCCTCACAAGCTGGCAAGGCCCGGGCACTGGCTTTTCTCTTTTTCCCAGAGGTTCATCCTTTTCTCATGCCAAGAGCCTTCTCCCTGGTGCCTGCTTTGTTAGGTCCCAGGAGAGGATCTCAGGTCTCCCAAGAGGGTCCCAACCATCCCTGTGCATCAGATCTCCTCTGCCCTGACCCCACTGGCAGAGGATTGGGGTGCCAAGGGCCAGGATCCTGAGATTTACACGCTTGCACTGCTTGGGCAGTGTAGTCCTGGGAGGCGCTGCTGCTGCTTCCCAGGCTCAGGGGGTGCCAGTCAAGGTGCAATGGGGATGGAAGAAGAGTAAAACTAAGCACTTCAGTTCTTGTTTTTCTGACTAGCCTGGACCCAGGGAACTACACTGTGGACACAGAGCCCATAACCGTCCCTGAGCCCGGCCCGCCTCACTTCTCACCTTCAAGCAGCTGAGCACATGACTGCACTCTGATCTGTCCCCAGGAGCTGATTCACTACAGGGGCACCGCCTCCCTGCCCTCTACTTCATGGTCTCTGACCCTTGATGGCAGCCTCAGCTTCTCCCAGGCTGGTCTCCCTTTCTTTGCTGCCTGGCCCACACACCTCGGTATAGTTACTTCCTTGACATTAGCCACAGTTCTCTTGCTCTTTGACCACCTACAGTCTTCATCCTGCAAAACTTCAGCTTCCAGACGCCATCATCACTGTCCTCCCTAGGGTGCAGGGGTAGCTGTTCTGACTCCTCTGATTTCCCACTTCTGACTCCTGACAACAGTGTCCACTTTCCCTTCTCAGTCTAACCCATGGCTCCCTCACCACACACCCAGTCATAGCTTCCAGGATTGATGGCTCGGCCCATGCTCCTGAGACCTAGTGGCTTCTCAGCACATCCTCAGCCACACTCCTCACTTATCCCTCACATCTGTTTCTCCTTCTTAGTTCTGTATCACAGAGACTGGCACCATCTACCCAGATGCCCAAGCCACGGAGTTCTGGAAAGAGCAAGATAGTAAATATTTTGGCTTTGTGGGCCATATGGTCTTCATCACAACTACCCAGCTCTGTTGTTGGAGCGTGAAAACAGCCAAGAGACAATATGTAAATAAATGAGTGTGGCTGGATGCCAATAAAACTTTATGAAAATAGGCAGTAGCCAGATTTGGCCCACAGACCTCAGTTTGCTGACCCTTGGTCTACATCTAGCTCTTGAGGTGTTTCTGTTTACTGAAATGCTTGCAGTTGCCTGAACCTGGTGTCACGCGTTTATACCTTTGAGTACGTAGCTTCCTCACAGGAATGCCCTTAGCACTTTATCCTCAAGACTTGGCCATGCTCACTTCTCAGAAGGCCTCTATGGTGCCCTGATGTCTTCCTCTGTCACATAGCTCTCCTCTGGTCATGACAGTATCATACCGCACTGCATTGATGTCCTGATCTGCGTCCCTGTGAGACCCTAAGCTCTCTGAGGTAGAACTCTTGCTGCCTGTTGTATCGCTGGCACCAGGTATATTGTCAATCTTAGATCAAGTTGAATCTGAATTTCGTGATTGCTCTGCGAAACATGGTGAATGACAGGAAGGAGACTTAGGACTCAGTGTAGTGGCTGACACAGGAATGACTGCACTTGTAGAAAGAGGATGATGCTGAGCTGGAGTTTATTGGGGCATTTCTAACCTGTGTCAGTGCTGGGAAGGGGCTGTTGTGATGGTGGGCCTTCCTGGGCAAGCTGCCTGTTCTCCCCAGCTTCCCAGTGTGGGTCTGTGGGGCCTCTGTTAGAGGTCTTTGTTCCTGGCTAACATCTCTCACCAGGATTGGGGGTTTCTTTCCAGAAGAGTCTGAACTTCCCCTCCAACCCCGTCCTCCTCCCAGGAAAACCTTATGCTCTCCATCCTGCCCAAGCACGTAGCTGATGAGATGTTGAAGGACATGAAGAAAGATGAGAGCCAGAAGGACCAGCAGCAGTTTAACACCATGTACATGTACCGGCATGAGAACGTCAGGTGCGATGGCTGAGACCCATCCCCAGCAGAAGGGCCAAAGGAACGTGGCTCCTGGGATTTGCTGAGCACCATGGGTTTGGTTTTCCTGGGGACTAGAGGCAGGGCCATCCCACTGTGTGCACCTCAGCTCCACTGAACTCCACAGTCCTGTGGAGGAAATGTACTGGCAGATATCAGTTAAAATGTGCTTTATGCAGGCTGTTCTATTCTGTCATTGTATGAATGTCACTCAGGAGAAGGAAAGGGTTCCTAAAAGGTTGTCTGTCATTCAGGGGCAGCTCTAAAAAAAAGGATGCATTCAGCCAGGGGTAGGGTTTGACCAGTTGGAGGGTGGTCCCCAGGTACAACTGGAGAGGGAAGCATGCAGAGGGGACTTCAGCAAGGATAAGTTGTAATGTCGGAGCCCTGAATTTGCCTGGAAACACCAAAGTCTCACTGTGCTGGGGGGATGAGCAAGACCTTCTTCCACTGTTAGCCTGGCAGTCCTGTGAGTTGGCAGGAGCTGGCAGTAGAGTCAGGTGGGGGTCTGGAGCCTCATTGCCTGCCGTCCCCTCTCCTGCAGCATCCTCTTTGCAGACATCGTGGGCTTCACCCAGCTGTCGTCTGCCTGCAGTGCCCAGGAGCTTGTGAAGCTGCTCAATGAGCTCTTTGCCCGCTTTGACAAGCTGGCAGCTGTAAGTACCCACTGCATCAGCTGTCCTTGGTCGTTCCCTGGCTCAGTAATTCCCCCATTGGTCCTTCCTTTTGCTTGCTTTGCCGCTGCTCCATGTCCAGAAGGGACTGGGAACACACACATGCCCTTCCCTTTCAGAAATACCACCAGCTGCGAATCAAGATCCTGGGTGACTGTTACTACTGCATCTGTGGACTGCCTGACTACCGGGAGGACCATGCTGTCTGCTCCATCCTCATGGGGCTTGCCATGGTGGAGGCCATCTCGTGAGTGGGTGCCTTTGGCAGCGAGGGGCTCCCAGGGCAGGCTTCTTGGCCCTGGCTGGGGAGAAGTAGGCCTTTCACTGGTCTAACCAGATGCCAGGAATCTGCCTGAGGTGTGGGATAAGGTTGAATCCTCAACCTTGGCAAGTCAGGACATGGCTTCTCCACAGCCTCTGGCCATGCCTCAGCCTTTGGTGACCTCATTCTCTCTATCAAAAGTTGCTTTGTGAAAACCATCACACTGCTCCATGTTTTCCTGAGGACCCGCCTCCCCAAGAGTTCTCCCCTTTTTCTGTTTTCTCACCATGACCCTCTAAGACAGATGCAGTTCAGGGACAGCCCTTCCCATGTCAACATGAAGTGAATGCTGGGTCGCATGCCATAGACGGTGGTAGGGTGGCATTGGAACCTGCCCTTTGCTCCAGCGCCCCACAAGAGCTGGGGAGCAGGCTTCCCCTTGTGCTGCTCCACATGAAACTGGTTTCTCTGGTGGCCCAGGAGAGGGTGGAAAAAGAAGCTCTTAGGAGGCTTCTCCCCTCTAATGGAGCCCAGATGTCATGTGCTCTTCCCTTTGGCCTCTAGGAGCAGCTCTGCATTCTTAGTCTCTCAGGTTAAGCCCCTCTTCCTTTAGCTTGGAAAGACACAAAGGCAGTCCCCCCCTGGGGTGACAGTAGTTCAGGATTAGAAACTTTAATCTCTACTCCCCCAGCAGGCTGATTTTTGAAATTTGTATTAGTCTTTTTCTGGAGTTGTTAAGCAAGTTACTCTTCTCAGAGGTTGTTTACCTCTGTGTCTGCAGCGTACAGGATGCTGGGCACATTCTAGATTCTCGATGGAACAGTAACTTTATGAATGAATAAGTGAACAACTTGAAGAGAGAAATTAGAGGTCCCTCAGGGGAAGAGAGTACTATGTCCCCAGACACCTTGCCCCAAGTCTCACTGACCTGTGATTGTTGGATCTACTGCTAGGTCCTGCCCTGTCTTGTCCCCAGTTGCAGCTGCTCAGCGGAAGCAGGAAGCCTCAGGGCATGTGCTAGGCCCCTCAGCCTGGAGGGGAGGGCAGCTCATGCAGAATTCTCTTGCAGGGAGAGCGAGGCTGCCTCACACAGAGCTGAACCCTAACACCTCTGTGTGCCTGGCAGGTATGTGCGGGAGAAGACCAAGACTGGGGTGGACATGCGTGTGGGGGTGCACACAGGCACTGTGCTGGGTGGTGTCCTGGGCCAGAAGCGCTGGCAGTACGATGTGTGGTCCACCGATGTCACTGTGGCCAACAAGATGGAGGCTGGTGGCATTCCTGGGTGAGTATGCCTTCAGTGTAGGCAGGTGTAAGGATCTATGAAGGGAACATCTCATCCACCCTCAAGGCAGTGGCCCTAATGAGGGACAAAAGGCCTTGAGGGCCCCCTTTCCACCCAGTAGGAGTGTTCCTTCCCTCCTACTTATGCCTGGCTAAGGCCACTCTGAGACCTTCCTCTGGGAGCCTGCCTCTGCAGCAGTCTGTCCTGTACTTACTGATGTTATAGTTCAGGACTCCTGAAAGGTGTCATGACTAGTAATAATCAGGCAGCAGGCCTGGAGGCCATACTTTATGGCTTACAGCCTCTCGCACAGCTCTCTCGAGCTCTTCTACAGAACCAGAACCAAATATCCTGGCAGGCCCTGCCCTTAGGGTGGACAGGCCAAGCTCAGCCTTCCCACCAGGGCAGGGAGCTTCCTCAGAGACAGTTGCATTTCTGTCCTCTGGTGACTCAGAGTGGGTTTTACCACCCGTTGGCATCAGGCTTGCAACTGAGAATCATGCAAGATAGGGAATAATCAGCTTATGACGTTATTCGAGTTCAGAGCTTATTACATTCCTTATCTCATTTGATGCTCTCAATAGTCCACGAGGAAAAACTGTGTTCTTTGTTTTAAAGACCCAATGCTGGGGCTCAGGGAAGTGGATGCCACACTGTCTACACAGCTAGTTAGCCACAAGACTGTCCCCACTTGGCCTCTGCCCTACATACCTGGGGATACAGGCCAGAGCAGCAGCCAGTGCCTGTGATGCACTGACCATCCCTAGTACAGGCAAAGGCTGTCTCTGACACATGCTCAAGGCCCCCCTCTGCAATCCAGGCGTGTGCACATCTCCCAAAGCACCATGGACTGCCTGAAAGGAGAGTTCGATGTGGAGCCAGGTGATGGGGGCAGCCGTTGTGATTACCTAGATGAGAAGGGCATCGAAACATACCTCATCATTGCCTCCAGGCCAGAGGTGAAGAAAACAGCCACCCAAAATGGCCTCAACGGCTCGGTAAGTTCCCTACCACACCTCTGGAGCAGAGATTTGGAAAGGAAGGAATTAAAACGATCTTATTTTTTTTAAAGAACAGTTATAAAAGAGAGGTTGGTGGGACTTGAAGATGGCTGACTATGAGAGGCAAGAGGCAGGCTGATGTAAAGAATTACTCTGCATCCTGTGCAGAGGAGTCCAGTGGTAGTGTCTTTCAGAGGCAAGGTGATTGTAGGGGAGACAGTGTCTTTCATGGTAAGTTGGAATTAAGATGATTGCAGTATATCCCGAGACAAATCCAGAAGGGAGGCTTCTGTAGTTGTAAAAGTAGCTGAAGCCACGAGTGGCTTGAATGCCAGGGAGAATATGCAGAATGAGGTGGGGCAGCCATCGAGGAGGAGGAAACTAAAGCCAGGGCAGGTTTCCTGAGTGGGAAATGAAGAAGAAACAGGCCCTGAAGTGGCACACATCTTAAAACCCAGTGACATGGAAGGTTAAGGCAGGAGGATCAAAAGTTTGAGACCAGCTTCTGCATCTTAGATCCCATCTCAAAAAATAAAAAGGCCTGGGAATGTAGCTCAGTGGTAAATTGCTCCTGGGCTCAAACCTCAGTACAAAGAAGGGTGGGGAGAGGAAAGGTACAGAAACAACAGAGCCATCTGTGGTCCTGCCCTCTGTCTGTTCTCTCCACAGTGGCTCCCATGGTCCCTTTCTGCTCACCTGCTCCAACAGCCCTGGCCCCCTGGCTGCCACTCATCCTCAGAGTAGCCCAAGGCTACTCTGGAGCCTTTGCACTGGGAATTCCCTTTTGACTTACTCCTTCATTTATTACTGAAATGTCATCTTCACAGTGACACTACCTCTTTACTAAAGGACTCCCAACTACCTCTACGCCCACCGTCCTACTTACCCAGCCATCTTTCTATGAACTGCATCTTTTCCTTATCTATTTTGCCAATGTCTGCCCTTCTTCATGAGAATATCTGGTCCACCAGTTTAGACCATTTTGTCTGTACTCCACAAATACTTACTGGTTGAATAAATGAACTAGTTAGCCACAAGACTGCATTTCCCGTTTCCCCTGCAGTACAGTGTTTCACTCACTCTGTCAAGGAAAAATTCACTGGTTTCTGGAGGTTTTTCAGATCAAGAAGCAGTTGCAGGGCCCTCCACGAAAACAGATCCCAGTCACTGTCACTGAGTTACTGTTTTGAAGAAGGAATTAGACCAATTGGGTCTTCTGTTTAGAAAACTTTTGATAAAAATTGATATTAGAAAATGACAGCATTTTAAAATTAATGTTCTAGAGGAGAAACTGAATAGTGGAATTTCTAGGTCAGTGAGGCTTCAACAACTCTAGTGGGAAGATTCTAGAATAATAGTAGACCGCCTACAGACTGGAATGTGCAGCAGACAGTATCTGGAGACCTTGATGGATGCTTCTTTCTACTGCAGGCCCTACCAAATGGAGCTCCAACCTCAAAGCCCAGCTCCCCTGCCCTTATTGAGACAAAGGAACCCAATGGGAGTGCCCAGGCCAGTGGCTCCACATCGGAGGAGGCTGAGGAGCAGGAGGCCCAGGTAGGCCCAGAGCAAGGAGGACTCACCAAGGGCCAACTTGTGGGTAGGAACTGGGAAGAGGTAGGTTTGCTGCAGTAGGATGGAGGCACATACTGGAAGTGGGAGGCTTTGTCACTAGCCTGGATGCTGCTCCTTTTTAGCAGTGACCACATTTAGACAGTATAACTGTCTCTTCATCAGTTACATGAAGTCAAGTGGGTAAGTTCCAAGAGGCATGTGCCTGTGAGGCCTCCTGTAGTCACATGGCCCAGAATCCTACAGGTTTGAGATCAGTGAGGACATCCATGGAAAATTCTATAGGATCCGAGACTGTTTTATCGAGAGTGAGACTTCTATGCTAGACTTACCCCTCTGGCTAGGTCAAACCCACAAGTTCCATGCACAGATGGACATTTCCAAAGCCCACACTAGTAACGACTAGTATGCTGACCCAGAGAATGGGCATGTCTTGGGAGATGATCCAGAACCGCCCCCACTGCCAAGGAGCTCTTAGGGGCTGGAGATGTGGCTCCGCGGTACAGTACCTGCTGAGCACACGTGAGGTCCTGGTTTCCATCTCCAGCACTGCAGAAAACCAAAGAACATCCTTAGCACTAAGGAGCCAGCTGAGTGGATACACTGACAAAGGTGAACTGGAGATGGGGCTCTCTGCCTTGCTTGGCTGGTCTCTCTGTGCAACGAGAGGAGAGCTGTTCCCAAGGCCTTTGTGTCTGACATCAGAGAAGGTGGTAGACAAAGCTTAACGTAACTGGCTTTTCTTTGAGCAATCAGTATTCCACAGCTTTTCCTGATTAGTGATTTTCTTGATGAAAAGTGGACTTACAGATTTGATATAACTCAATAACATGTACATAGAGGTGGCTTTAGCAGCCTGTGACTCTTCATGTCCTAATCATTAGCTTTTGTCACTATGCTCCAGGGTATGCTTCCTGAACGTAGGCTCTTGGTGCCTAAAGAGCCCAGCCGGTGGGGGGGTGGGGGGGAAGGAACTGGGAAGCAGGGATTATCTGGGGTAGGGTCAAACTCGGCACAGTTGAGTTGAAGACTAGGGAGTCCTGGCTCTGGCTCCCTGGTGCACTCCTGGACCTGCTGTGACAGCTCCAACACTCTTGTTATTTGGACTGACAGCTATGTAGTCATAACTGGAGTTGTATTTTTAGAGTTGATACCTTTCCTTTGTGACTAGGACTAAGGTGGCAGAAGCCCCAGCACTGCCCACCTTCCCCTTTTCAGCCCACTAGCAACAAAGACATTCTCTACCCTCCCATCATACCCTATTCATACTCCTTTGCAAAATGGGCCAGATGTGAGCTTTTGCCATTCCCTTAAGCCCTAGGGTTGGAGGTCACTTGTGCCCTCAAAGATGTCAACATGTAGGGCTTCATGTGACCCCTCTTCCAGCAGGAGGATGTGACAGAACTGCACTCTTCAGTACTGCCTTGAATTCTAACCTCCTAATCAGGTGTCAAGGGGCTGCTTCCCAAAACACTGTCATCAGCAGACTAGGGGTCTAGAAAGACCAGACAGGATTGGTTCAGCTTTGGGTCCAAGCAGGATGAAGCAACATGGGAGCATCAGGAAGACTTCCTGGGAAAATATTTTTTAGAGATAATGGGCCTAGTCCTCAGGAGCATGACTCTTTTGTTCCCCTCCCCCTCTACCTTCATCCTTCCCAAATCTTCTCATTGTATTACCCCATCAGCCCTACTGACTCTGCCTCTCTGGCTTGCAGGCAGACAACCCCTCGTTTCCCAACCCCCGCCGGAGGCTGCGCCTCCAAGACCTGGCTGACCGTGTGGTGGATGCTTCTGAGGATGAGCATGAGCTCAACCAGCTACTCAATGAGGCCCTGCTGGAGCGAGAGTCTGCCCAGGTGTAAGTGGCCACTGCAGAGGTCCTGGAATACTGCTTCTCACAGGCCCTTATGTGGGGTACAGGAAACCAGTCATATGAAATATGGTCCCACTCATAGGATGTAGCAGATGTGGCATTTGTGGTTCACGGGGCTTGTTTCTACTGCAGGGTAAAGAAGAGAAACACCTTTCTCCTATCCATGCGGTTCATGGACCCAGAGATGGAAATCCGCTACTCAGTGGAGAAGGAAAAGCAGAGCGGGGCTGCCTTCAGCTGCTCCTGTGTGGTCCTGCTCTGCACAGCCCTGGTTGAGATACTCATTGACCCCTGGTAAGGGAGGGGCAGTGGAGGGGACCAATAGGCCAGGAGAGGGAGAAAGGTGAGGGACCTCCTAGGGCACAGAGGTGTGAGAGGCAGGCACCTCAGCTGGAGCCCAGTGTCAGGGCATAGGCCCCATCTCTGCTCCATGCACCTTCCTTCTCTGTCTCTGCACCAGAATGGGGTTCTAAGCAGGACAAGAAAGCTAGGGGACAGAGGTATTCAAGAGGATTAGAAAACTTGGCTGGATAGGCCCCAGGGGTTTGGGGGAAAAGAATGGGGATGCTGCCTTAACCTGTCACCAAGGCCAACCTGGCTTCCCTTTCTTGGCTTATCTTAGTAAAGCCAGATTCTAGGGTGAGCACAGATGTCCTCAGCAGTAGGTCCTTTGGTGCAAGTAGGGTGTTCCAGAGTTCTTGCACAACTCTTAAGCCCCACCTGAAAGATAAACATGACTCTGCCAGTCTCTGGTGGCTGATTAGCAACTCCCTCCTGCCCAGGCATTCCCATTAGAGAGCAGGTGTGTGGAGCCTGTGTGGATCTGTTTTAGTAGCTGTAAAAAGCCTTGGCCTCAGCCACACCATCTCAAGTTCCAGATGGAGCACTGTGGCAGGTGCTCTTGGAACCCAGTGCACTCATCTGTAAAGTAAGGGTGATGATCCCATCCTGGCAAACTCTCAAGATTGTTTTGAGATCAAAGTCATTCAGTTTGCAAATATTTATATATACTTTGTGCTTGAGAATTAAGGTCTAGAGATACAGCAGTGAACAAAGCATAAAGAAATCCCTGCTTCCATCAAACTTAGAATCTCATAGGGAAAGTCACACATGGATATTTAAATAATTTAAAGTATATACCCAGACAATGGTAAGTATTTCAGATAAAAATTAAAGCAAGGATAGAAGTTTACATATTTTTTACAGGTCACTCAGAGCAGAGCTCACTGATGAGGTGGTAATTCAGTAAAGCACTGAAGGGGGCGAGGAGCAGGCTTTCTGCTATCTGGGGGTGACTGTCTCAGTCAATGTTGAGGCACAGCGGGTCAAGCCTCTCTGGAGGCACAGCAAGGGCTTAATGCTGCTGGAATGGGGGGAGCTGCAGGGACAGTGGTAGGAATGAATCAAGGTAGAGAGTTCGGGCCTTAGAGGCCATAGCAGGGTGCTGGCTCTCTTCAAATGGGAGGGCAATGGAGGAATATAAGCAGAGTAGTCACCTGTTGGGGCACATATTTGAGAATGATCCCTCTGCTATGTTGAGCAGAGTTTAATGAGCAAGAGTGCAAACAGTAAGACCAGTAAGGGGTGATGGCATTGACCCAAACAAACCATGTGATGGCACTTTAGGCCAGGCTGAAGTTAGAGAAGAGGATACGAGGTTGGATTCTGACTTTTATTGTGGGAGAGTTGGCTTCTAAATATATTTTTGACACAAAGCTGGCAGCATTTGCTGACATTGGTTTTGAGGTATGAAAAATGAATGATGCCTCTAAGGTTTTTGACCGGTATCTGGCAGAATGGAGTTGCCATTAACCAAAAGATGGACAATATAGGAAAAGGAACATTGGAGAGGCAAAGATCAGGAATTTGGTTTTGGCTATGTTAAATTTGAGATGCTTATAGACACTGTCCATAGGTAGCTGAGTTGTAATCTGGGAACTGGGGAGATACTGGAGTGGAGATGCCAACTTGGAAGTCATCTCCTCACAGGGTACATTAAGAGCATGAGACATGATGAAATCCTCAAGGGAGACTGTAGGTGCAAAGAGAAGTAGGTCAAGGCCTAAGTTGAGTGGTACAACTGTGTATAGAGATAGGAAGACAGAAAGAACCAGCAGAGAGTGAAAAGATCCTGAAAACCAAGTGAGAATGTTTCAAGGAATTAAGAGATGACCTCAAACTGGACAGGGGATTTAGCAACATGAGGTTTCTGAAGCTCTTCACTCTCTGTGAAAGGGTGAAATGGGAATGGGCACGAGGACCTCAGTGAGAGCAGATTTCTCAGTGAATGGGATGAACTGGATGTGGAAGGACCTTGCCACTGAGGCTCTGAGGAGTCAAAGGATATGTCAGACATAGCCACCCTCAGCAGGAGTTCTGAACTGTTTACCATAGTTACAAAGCAGATGCTCATTCCTAAGAATCCCTTCCCAAGATTTTTTTTTTTTTTTTAATATTTAGTTGTAGATGGACACAATCTCTTATTTATTTTTGTGGTGCTGAGGATCAAATCCAGAGCCTCACGCTGGGCAAGTGCTCTACCACTGAGTTACAACCCCAGCCACCCCAAGTTTTTATTGGGCCATTTGGCATATCTGTGGCTCTTTAACCTTTATCTGGGAAATGTCCCAGAGGACAATTGGGGAGGTGGTGCACTCCCAGGCCCTGTACTCAGTGATATCGCACTGCCTAGGGCCTCTCGTTTTGTGCAGCAGCAATTCTCTGGTGTCACATGTAACTGCAGGCACAAGCCTGTGCCATGCTTGTCTCTACTCTCCAAGCTCCTCACCTAATCTCACTTGTACTTTAATCATCATTTCTCTGCCATAGGCTGATGACAAACTATGTGACCTTTGTGGTTGGGGAGATTCTACTCCTGATCCTGACCATCTGTTCAATGGCTGCCATCTTCCCACGGGTAAGAAGCATTGTCTGTTGGGCTTGGAAGCTTCTGGAAGAGAATGCACTTCTATAAAACTGCATACTAAAGGATCTATTCTTCCTGACATATTCTGACTCTTGTCTTTTATTGGGATGATTTAGGCATTTATCCACTCCCTCCCTCATTCATACATCCATTCATCTGTTCACTATCAGCTAAGCAAACCCTCTGGGCTGGACTCAGATGGGCCATGGTACTACAGCATACAAGTAAGGTAATCTGGATAAAGGGGAACCTGGGTAGAAAGGCAATGCAGGCCTGGCTGGAAGGTGGGTTGGCTCTGACTATGAAAGACCTTAAAAGCCAGACTAAAGGGATTAAGACTTTCTCCTGCAGGCACAGGGGGTGCCAGGCAGTGTTTGATCAGAAGGATAAGAGAAAAGGAGTGTTTTAGAGAAATCGGACAGGTGGCTTGCAAGGTAACCTGGGGGGTTTAGGTGTAATGACCTAGGAAAGGGTGGGATAGGTGGTTAGGCAGAAGGCTGGTCCTGAAAGTTGTTCCTTACCCTGTCCTATGCTCTTGGACATGGAGAGTGACTGGCCAGTGTTGTCCATGCTCCTGGGATGGTCAGCATTTTTGCCAAGTGGCAACTGGAGGCCATGGAGTTACATGCACACACACCTGAAGGACTGATAAAGAGTACCTGGACTCTGGCACTGTCTTCTTAGTGTGGTCCCACTTGATCAGTTTTTGGGTGACCCAGTGGCAAGGCACTTTTTAGGTTCCTAGGAATAGAGTATGGGAGCAACAAGAGTTATCAGTAGTCATGTATACTGGACAAAGGGCTATCAAAGGCTCATGACCCTTGAAATTCTATTCCTTCTAGGCCTTTCCTAAGAAACTTGTGGCCTTCTCCACTTGGATTGATCGGACCCGCTGGGCCAGGAACACCTGGGCCATGTTAGCCATCTTCATTCTGGTTATGGCAAACATCGTAGACATGGTAAGCTCCTTTGTCCAAGTTCCCGTTGGAGAAGGGCTTTTTGGCTGTATGAGCAGTCTGCTGGTCCATTCCTTTGCAAGCAGACATAGATTTAAGTGGCATTTAAGTTCCTAAAATGATGATTCCAGTCAGATGAATGGGTCTTCTGCTGTCACTCAAGGAACTTCTGAGATTGACTTGTTTCCTTGCAGATATTCCTTCTCAGAGTCTGAGCCCAGTTCCATGAATCTAGTTCTGAGCTAAATGCATCAGTATCTATAGGTTCATATGAAAGTACTAAGGCTCAGAAAGATACACCAACTTTTCTTCACAGCCAGTCAGTAACATGAAGTCAAGTGTCAAGAATTAAAGCAGTTTTAAATCCCACTCCTGAGTTTCCTTCCTTCATGTCTCCTTGTTTAGAGTGCAATATACATAAGCACTCTGTCCATCTGAAACATTCCTTACAGTGTGGGTTAGTGTTAACCATCCATCCAGGCCAGGGAGGTAAACCTGTGTCACCAAAGGAGCTCCTGTTTACCTTCTGAACATGGCCAGAACTTCCTAGAAAGGTGAGACAGTAGGAACAGCAGCTTTACAGGGCCCAGATGGCTGGAAGACAAAACATCTTCTGTTCTCCTCAGTTCATAAAGAAGCTGGGGGTTCTGTGAGCGGGCAGCCAGATGCTTTTCTAGGAAGAAGGGACAGGAGTTGGAAACTCAGATCTATTGATTTAGAGCCACCAGGCATTTATTGAGCATTGAATGCTTAGAGCTATCATGATGTTCTCTTGTCAGTTGTCACAGCTTCCTCCGATTGTGGTAGTACCATATGCACTCTCTTTTAAAAAGTCCTTTCTTCAAGTATCATGCTGTCATATTACTTGCCGGATTTTAACAATTTAAGTATAGCAATGAAATCAGCATGGAGATTAATTCTGGCAGTAGTGTAAGTGAAAAAGCTCTAGGGCTGCAACCATCAATCAGAAGTCTGATTAGTTAGGTGCTCCAGAGCCGACCACACCCATGAGCTGCAATGCCTACCACACAGGGAAAGGCCCCTAACCTCCTGCATGTTAGAATACACCTGAGGCTGGTGCCCACATCTGGGGCCTACAGTTTAACAGGGTCACGGATGCCCTGCAGAATATCTGGAGATCACTGCTTGGTGGGGTAAAAACAAATGGGTTGAGGTGATAATACCGCATGTGCTAGAATTATATGCCAGGACCTTGCCTGAAGCCAGATAAGCTGGAAGTTACACACACACACACAATCACACAATTTCACTTTTTTTTTTTCCTCCAGTTGATGGCTATACTTTCTGTTGATCACATCTGCACAGCAGTGAATCCAGCGAAGGTAGTGATCTAGAGGGCAGTTTGGGCAGAGATTTGCTGTCACCATAGGGAAGTGGTAGTAGAGGCCGACTGGTCATAGCCCCTCCTGTAGTGACAGTGTGGTTTGAAGAACATGCTGGATTGGAAGCCTAAGGACCTGGCTCCTGGTTCACTTTATTGCTTGCTAATTATGCAGCTTTGCCCAAGTCCAGCCTCTAAGCTTTCTATGCAATAGGGACAGTATTAAAAACACAAGTGAGTTTTTCTGAACATCAAATGAGATATATGGTAAAACTCTTAGCAAATAATAATTTTGTATTATTCCCTGGTTACTTTCCCCATCCTTCTCTGAGGGAGGTGCAGGAGGCAGCTAAATGGTCACTGCCATGGTATAGCCCTCTCTAACCAGTGTCTGCTGTTCCCTTGTACACCTGTTTCCCTCCTGATCACCCTGGCCTCTAGCTTAGCTGTCTCCAGTACTACACCAGACCCTACAACGGAACTGCAGGGATGGAGCTGGAGGGAGGCTGCCTGGAGAACCCCAAGTATTACAACTACATTGCCGTGCTATCCCTCATCGCCACCATCATGCTGGTGCAGGTCAGCCATATGGTGAAGCTCACACTCATGCTGCTCGTCACGGGTGCAGTGGCCGCCATCAACCTCTATGCCTGGTGCCCCATCTTTGATGAATACGACCACAAACGCTTTCAGGAACATGAGTAAGATGAAGCTTGATTGGGTATCTGCATGGTCTCCTTCCTTCTACCCCAAGTCTCCATTTCAAGGTCATGGGCCTGCACTGAGGTGGCATTCTGCCTCTGGGGCCCATCAAAGGCTTATATGGGAACCAGGGTTTGTGGTTTCTCAGACATGTCACTGGCTGGCTATGATCTGGGAACAAGTCCTCTCCATCTTGATTGAAGACTGGGATACCTCAGTGTTTGGCTGGGCATCAACCTGTTGTTCAAAGATGCAGCCTGAATGTGCTCTTATCTGCCTCACAGCTTTCCTTTGGTGGCCTTAGAGAAGATGCAGGTATTTTCTACCCCTGGGCTCAATGGCACTGACAGGTAAGTGCTACTGTGTTCCCCTCCTTGGTCTCTGCATCTGTGGTCCTTCTTCTAGAGACAGGGAATATAAGAAGCCAGTATCCTGGGATCTCAACCTTTCAAAGGCACATAAGTTGTATTGTGTCTTCATACAGTAGAATACCGTTCAATAATGGAAATTAAATATAGTGCCACACAAAAACAAGGATGAAAGTTAGAAAAAGCCATGGTAAGATTGGGCCCTGGTCCCACTGCTGTGATATTAGTCTCTTCCCTTCTCCAGACTCCTTACATGGTTCTAACAGCTTCTGTGATCAGTAAGGTACTCTCTGGGGAGTAGCCCTGATGTAAACACCCAGTGTAGCAAGGCCCTGGCTGACTAAGTCCAATGGCCTAGGGAAGTTCTGCTGCCTCAGGAGGTAAGGACTTCATGTAAAGGAGTATAGTGGTGGGGGTAACTTCCAAGGCTCAGGATGACAGGAACCAATAAAACCCAGGTAGAGGGAACGCAAATTCCTTACAGGAAGGCAGCATGGGTGCTTTCAGTTGTATTCTGTATGCCTGGCAGGCTGCCGCTGGTGCCTTCTAAGTACTCAATGACAGTGATGATCATCATCATGATGTTGAGCTTTTACTACTTCTCCCGCCACGTGAGTACCTACACACTCTGTCCTACTGGCCCAAACCCATCAGAGCCTCCCAAAAGGCAGTTCCAGGATCCTAGAACCCTTCCTAGACCCAGCCTTACCTGTGGCCCTTGGCAAGCCACTGCCTTCTCCCTATTCTGGTTTCTTCCTCAGCAATACAAGGAGAACAGTTCTTTACTTCTTCTGACCTCCTCCAGAAGTTAAAGGAGCATGGGGGTTGGGGGAGGGTGACGTGCTAACACAAAGGCCTGGATAAGGTCCAGTCCCTAGGCTGGGACTCACAGTTTCTGTATTCACCCTGGCATGTGGCAAGGGGAGGGGGTCACTAATGCACTGATCACAGAGCCAGAAGAGAAAGGAAAGGGATCTCATGAAGTTTGGGGTTAAAAGGATGAAATAAAAAGGAAGGAAGGAAGACAGGGCAGGGAGATATCCACACAAGGAATCCATGTTAGCTTAGGTGTCGCCAGTGGTTTGCCAAGGAAAGGACAGTCTTCCTAAGACACTTCTCAGCCAAGTGGAGCTTCTGGAAAAGGGGACTACACCCTGAGCTGGGAGATTCCCCCCAACCCTCCCACCTCCACCTGCCTATGACAAACCTGCAGCTAAAATTAGGTCTCAAGAGGCCCCACACATAGGAAAGGCCTCTTGGATCTCAGCTATAATCAAAGAGGCCAGGATCCATACTTCAGTTGTGGGACAGCCTTTTTGATTATGTGAGTCCTCTCAGGGTCTACGTCCTTTACCACTTAGCAGTCTTCCTTCATTTTTCCCAAGGGAACCCCTCCATTGAGGCCCCACTCTTTATCTTTCCATCACCTAGCTAGCTTTTAGAGCACATATCTTGCCTATCTGTTTCTATAGGTGGAAAAACTGGCACGGACACTGTTCCTGTGGAAGATTGAAGTCCACGACCAAAAGGAACGTGTCTACGAGATGCGACGCTGGAATGAGGCCTTGGTCACCAACATGTTGCCTGAGCATGTTGCTCGCCATTTTCTGGGTTCTAAGAAGAGAGATGAGGTGAGAACATGGTCTGGAGGCCATGTGCTCTTCCTTCCAGGGAGCCCTCTGGGCGCAGGTCTTCTCATGGTGGTTTGGGTCTCAGGTGGAATTGAGCCTGACCAGCAACAATATCAACACAAAAGCGTTTCCTAGGCATCTTATAAAGGGCACTATTGTAGAAATTGTGCATGTAGGTCACATCTCTGAGGCCCCATTTCAGAAGACAAGGCCTGGCCAGACTCCTGCTTTCTGTTGTTGTGATCTTATGAAAACAGAGTGGTTCCCATTTCCACAAAACCCTCTTTCTCACAGCTAGGCTGTTACAGGAGCCAGGAAAACTATTTTTCATTTATTCAAAATTGTGATGAGCTATTTTCCAACCAAGTTAGGATAACTGGAGAGATGTCTGAGTTCAAAAAGTTGAGTGTACACTGTGTGTAGGAGAAGACAGATTTGTTTTCTTAGCACATCACCCCATTGGGCAGCCATCCTTTGAGCTCTTGGACCCTGTCTCCTTTTAGGAGTTATACAGCCAGTCTTATGATGAGATTGGAGTTATGTTCGCCTCCCTGCCCAACTTTGCTGACTTCTATACTGAAGAGAGCATCAATAATGGTGGTATCGAGTGTCTGCGCTTCCTCAACGAGATCATCTCCGATTTCGATTCAGTGAGTGCCTTCCTGCCCACTTCAGTCAGAGCTACCCCATCCCAGGACAGAGAACTGAATTAACCTAGCCTGGCTACATTTTCCCAGACCAACCCTTTCCCACAAGGACTTCTGCAACTATTTGGAACTGCTGGGTCTCAGGGGTTAGATGGGAGCCTGAGAAATAAGGACTAGCCAATCCTGAGGCTCCTGATTCTTCCCTCACACTCACATTCAGTAAACATTTATTGAGTAACTTGTACACCAGGGAAAATCCTTTTATATACATGCTCAAATACCCTAGGAGACTGGTAATTTTATCTCAGTGTTAGGATTGTGGAAACTGAGGCTCAGAAAGTCAGGTAGTTTGCTAAGTGTGCACTTTGGCATCTCCTGAATGCTTTGTGGGTCTTGTAAATGGGAGCCTGTTAGTTGGTTCATTCATCTCCCTTGACTCTACTGACAATTCTTTTTCCTTAAACCTGGCCACAGCTCCTTGACAATCCCAAATTCCGGGTCATCACCAAGATCAAAACCATTGGCAGCACCTATATGGCAGCTTCAGGAGTCACCCCAGATGTCAACACTAATGGCTTTTCCAGCTCCAATAAGGTAAATAAGCTTGTTAGGTAGGTAACTGTCTAGAGAGGAGACAAGGCTTCTACCCGGGGAAGAGAGACCCAGCATGTAGGAAATGAGAAGTATAACAAAAAGTTACCGAGTACTGTTGTACAAAGGGTTCCCAGACACATACTGCACATGCAGTGCAGATATAAGAGAGTTTACTGAGAGAGCCAAGAAAAAGAACACACACAAATCCCCATTACAGTTCTACAGCGTATGCCTAAGGCAGTTTGTGCACATCGCGACCATGCCCCCTTTAGGATACATATTTTCATAATAAATGGGGAGCAGGAGCGACCTGTGCAATTCTGTAACAATGGAAACTTTAAAAGGAAGATCTGGGAACTCACTGGCTGCTATCTGCCTGCTCTCTGCTAAGCTAATACAGACTTGTAGAACCCTTGTGTCAGGCACTGTCCTTAAAACATCACCCTGTTCTACCTTTACAACCGTGTCAGTACTACTGCCACCTCTACTTTCTGGTTGAGATTAACAAAGCAGGTGGAAGGTAGGTCATCACCCTAAAGTATTTATAATCTAGTTGAGGAATCCAGACAAAAATCACTACACAAAAGCTGGGCACGGTGGCACATGCCTATAATCCCAATAGCTTGGAGGCTGAGGCAGGAGAATTGCAAGTTCAAAGGCAGCCTCAGCAATGGTGAGGCGCTAAGCAACTCAGTGAGACCCTGTCTCTCAATGAAATACAAAATAGGGCTGGGGATGTGGCTCAGTGGTTGAGTGCCCATGAGTTCAATCCCCAGTACCAAAAACAAAACAAACAAAAAAAAAACCCAAAACCTGAAGACCAGGCTTAGGGTGGTGGAGATCTGTGTCATGATCAGGTAGATGACAGGAAGCAACTGAGTTGGGTAGAGTCTGTCTCCCCCATCACCATGGCCAGTCTTGTCCTAGTGAACTGGTGGCTTCTGAGGGAGTATAATGCTAGAGGAACCTGTATGAACTCTTGACATAGCAATATGCTGCAGCAGACTCCAGGACGAAGGAAAGGCCACCAACAAGTAGATGTAGAGACCTCTTCCCTTGTAAATGCTGCTATAGGAAGGAAGCAGGAGAGCAGGCTGCTCCAGTGAGAGCCTGGGTGGCTCCTGACGCTTTCACCACTGCTTGTCACAGGAGGAAAAGTCAGACAAGGAGCGCTGGCAGCACCTGGCTGACCTGGCCGACTTTGCACTAGCCATGAAGGATACACTTACAAACATCAATAATCAGTCCTTCAACAACTTCATGCTGCGCATAGGTAAGGGATCCAGCTCACCTGCCCTGGCTGTCTGGTGCTGGGGATATCAGCAGAAAAATACCAGAGGCTCAGGAAGACCAAAAGCAGTTAGGGTGGGGAGGTCACAGACTCACAGAGCTAGAGCGGATTTGAAGGATCTTTAGCCCAGTCTCTTCAAATTGAAAACCTGAATGAGGGCTGAGGTTGTGGCTCAGAGGTAGAGCGCTCGCCTAGCACATGCGAGGCCCTGGGTTTGATCCTTAGCACCACATAAAAATAAAGATATTGAGTCCAACTACAACTAAAAAATAAATATTAAAAAAAAAAACCTGAACGATGAAATGGTTGAGCTAGACCTGTCCTTATGACATACTCATAATCCAGCATTCCTTCTGACATGCCCAGGAAGTGGGTCTGTTGTCTTAACTTTTAGGGTGTTTCTGAGACTGCTAAGGACTCTCCTCCTCAGAGTGGATTGTCTTTTGAAAGGAGTTAATGTCACATGCCATTCCCTACTGAGAGGGTCTCACTCCTGGATGAAGTTGCAGAGCCCTGAAGTACTAGCTATGTTAGAAGCTGGCCAGTACTGCACTGATTAGATCATTTGGCATATTGGGGATAGTTAACATTTGCCATGGACTTGGTGAGGACAGGATAAATAGGAGACATGGTTCTGTCTTCTAGTAGCTTAAAGATGACTTCAACGATACAAGGTATTACACGTTCAAGAGCTTTTGTGGTGGGAGTCAGGTAAAAATTTTTATAAAACAGGAACTGGTGGCTTCTGAGGGAGGATAATGCCAAGCTTGGCATGTGGCTGTGCTGAACTTTATGCCTCCTACTCCAGGCATGAACAAAGGAGGGGTTCTGGCTGGGGTCATTGGAGCCCGGAAACCACACTATGACATATGGGGCAACACAGTCAATGTGGCCAGCAGGATGGAGTCCACAGGGGTCATGGGCAACATTCAGGTATGTTCAGCATGCTCAGGTGCAGGGAATAGGAGAAAAACAGCCAGGGAATGCTCTGCTCTGCACCACTGCCTCCTGTCGCTGGCCCAGAATGCTAAGCTGGCAAAGCTGTGAGGTGAAGGTCATGCATGGGAAGAGAGGCCTTTAAAGCCTCAAGAGAAGGAAGAAAATGGTTCAGTCCACTTGCAACAAATAGGTCTGTTTGAGTTGAGAAGAGCTTGTGCTCTGGTATGAACTGATATTTGGTGCTGATAGCAACTTCCCCCGAGGTAATACTGATGTCTGTCACCTGGGTCTGCAAGAAAAGCTCCATGAACTGGGAGCCCAGAGAACAGAGTAGGAGTTACAAGTTCCCAGACTGTAGTCTGCTACATGGGTGACCTGTGGCTGTCCTACTGGAAGAGAGGACTACGGCTGTCTTAGAGAGAAGGGCTTTGGACCAGTTGCCCCGAGTTCCACGGGTCTCACCTGGAGCTCTCTGGGGTAAAACATTGATCACTGACTGGGACCTAATGGTCACATGAGTATAGATAGTACGTGTGGATCCATTTTCAGCCCAAGACTCTAAACCCAGCACAGTCTAGGCTCCCTCTCTAACCCCAAGCTCTCTTACTTTCTCCTTCATGTGCAGGTAGTAGAAGAAACACAGGTCATCCTCCGAGAGTACGGCTTCCGCTTTGTGAGACGAGGTCCCATCTTTGTGAAAGGGAAGGGCGAGCTTCTGACCTTTTTCTTGAAGGGGAAGGATAAGCCAGCTGCCTTCCCCAATGGCTCCTCTGTTACACTGCCCCACCAGGTAGTGGACAACTCCTGAATGGCCTCTGCTCCCATGACAGCCCACATGGAAAGGGAGAATTTCTTTCTTTTGGAATTGGAAGAAAGGCCTTGGGAAAGGGCAATGACCACGTCCTGATGTTCCTGAATTACTGAAGTGCACACTCCCATAGACTTTAAGTTTAAAATGTTAAGCCTTCACTTGTCTGTGGATATGTCAGCTCTGAGGGTGGCCATACTATTCTTCAGTGTGCCTGTAGCTTCCCCAGAGTAGGAGTCTTAGGCGTAATACTCGGAGAGTCCTTCCAGAGCCCTAGTTCCAACTCAGCCCTTCTTCCCCCAGAGAGGCCATGGCCACTGTGAGTAAGAATTCAGCAGAGGTGGAACGAAGCTGCCTTTGCCACTGGGCTGGGAGCACAGGTATAGGAGCTTTGCTAAAAAGAGTAGGGCTTGGCAGAGTTAAATACTGCTGGAGAATGCTCCACTTCTACTGGAACCTGACAACAGTGCTTTCATTGTGAAGAGAGCTCCCACGGAGACCTGACTTTCTTCATATGGTCCCAGTTAGGTTAAATGGCCCTTGTCCTGATGTTCCTGGTAATCTTGAAAGGTTCTTCTGGAACCCCCATCACCTTAGTTATGAGAGCAGAAAGTGCAATATTTCCTTTCACCTGGTGGGGGGAGGGGGGTTATTTCTGAAAGAAAAATATATAAACAGATCTTCTACATTTATATTTTTAATCTGTTAAAAAATACTTTCCAATATTGCCTTGCCTTTTGAGCTCTTGCTACAGTCGCCTTTGCTACTGCTTTAAAAGAGAATTTACAGGTATTGATAAAGAACAAGACTGTTTTATTAAAAGCTTTACTCAACTTGAATGGAATCATTGTGGACATTCTGTTAATGCACCCTGCTAAGTGCTTTGCCAGCCCAACCAAATGCTTAGAAGAGCTTGAACGGAAACATCTCTGTGGTTTTTTGTTTTGTTTTTAAATTTTTAGTTGTAGATGAACACAATACCTTTATTTATTTTTATATGGTGCTGAGGATTGAACGCAGTGCCTCACATGGGCTAGGCCAAGTGCTCTGCCGTGGAGGCACAACCCAAGCCCCTCTTTTATTCTTAAACACACAGAGGTGTCTCACGTTCATGAGGTTCTAAGAAGCGGCCATTTCAGAGTGAAGCCTGACTATAGCTCTGGGCCTCAGGAAGTAACACCTACTATCTATAACTGGGCAAAGGAGGGATAAGAATTGAGATGGGAGACCCTGATCAGCCAGACTCAGGTTTCCACAGCTATCGACTGGCCCTAAGCCAGGAAAAAGTTAAGTACCAGCACATCAGAGGCCCACGGTTACAGAGAGAAACAACACACTGAAAGGCCCTGAAGATGGAGAGTGAGACTGCACAGCTGGGGCCTGGAGTTTCTAGGAGGAGAAGGAAGACATGAAAAAGGAGGGTCCATTTCCATTTACAAGATTTCCAACAGTTTTTTTTTTTCCCCCACAGTGATTATGCATTCAGCTCTCTACTAAAATGCTTTAAGAAACAAAATATTAGACACGAAACCCCAATTATTTTATCTATAGTACTCTGGCACATCATATTCCTTATAAAACTGTGACCACTGTTCCAAATCAAAGATTGAACACACTTCCCTTCTTAACTATATGATGTATTCCATATCTAGAGTGTCCTAAGAACTTTATTTTCAAAGTCTTAGGAAAATGAGGGCAAAAATTACTTGAAGCTCCCACAAAAGATCGAAATGTTCCCTAGTCTTTCACAAAATATGTCCTATTACCCCACAAAAAGGTCTTGAGGCTAAAATATATGATTAAATCAATTAATACCTCAGAAGAAGAGATGATCCTGAGCAAAATGGGTGACTAATCATGGAGAATTGTCCAAGAATTCCAGTGCCTATGGGACTCAAACTTGTTCCTTGTCATTCTGATGAAGAAGCAGGTGCCTATTCTTAGAGTAAGGATGATCCCCCAGCAAAGTGTGAGAGCCTTTCAATTTTCAGTTCTAGGACTACACATCAAATGTGTTCCCAATGGAAACAATATTTTAGGTCAGACTCAAATCCAGCTTTTCTCCTCCTCTTGAAAATGAAGCAAACACTTGATGCAGGGGCTTCGTACAGAATAGAGTTTCATGAGATGCTCTCTGCTCTTCCCATGAAGTGGACAATGCTTCCACTCCTAAGAAAAGAGATTATATCAATCTCATCTAGTTGCAACTAGATCACAACCTGGATTACTACTATTCTGAACCTATGTACCTTTTTTGGGTTGGGAGCTGAGAGAGTCTGCCTCCTATTGAGCCAATGTAATTTTGAGACCAGAGATTTAAAACAGACTCTGCCCACAGAAATAAAACCTATGGTGTGAAACTCATGGCACTTTCAAACTCTCTGCTTCCTAAATACATTTTACACAATTTTTCATTATTGCCTATGTCACATTGTTATGGTACATTCAACTGGTATAAGCTCACCCACACACACAGTTTCTTATGGCCAGCGCTAAAAAAATTCTGATTTAAAGAATACTCTAGAGAGTCAAGTGTATACTGACTTGTCACACCTAATTGGCTTCACAGTAAAATGAGTCTTTTGGCTCCATTCACCATAGATGACCCTATGATTCAGTCTTTCTTCAAGGGGGTCTCCCATGAAAATAAGAACATGGGCTGCGTTGGGTGTGGCAAGGAGGAGGAAAACTAGTATAATTATATATGCCATTTTCAAAGCAGAAAGGAAAAAAATGATAAAAACAAAACATTCTTTGTATCTTACTGAGTAAATTTATAGTATGCAAACAGAAGAAAATGTCTCAAGGGGTCCACTTAATGTATTCTACCTGTATCAACTTGAACAAACCTCAGCATATTATATTTCTTCAGTGAGACATCTTTCCTCATACCTTGATATGTAACGGTGACATCAGTTGGAAGTGTTCTCGTGAGGTCCTTATATAGCAATCTGGCACAAAATGGGAAGGACTGATCCCCCAAATCCACTTTATAAGTAAATGACAGCAAGTTGCACAGGGAGTTTCTCTGCAAGGGCCCAGTCAGAAGGGCTGCGAAGTCACTCTAGTAAGGTGAGGAACAAAGCAAGTGTATGAGGATTGCTGCTCCACAGGCAGTTGTGATGCCTCAAAGGTATCTACCAAAAGAGGGCCCATTCATTAAATTTCAGAAAAATAAATGAACAGAACAGAAAAAAAAATAAATAAATAAATAAATTAAAAAAAAAAAAAAAAAAAAATAAATGAACAGAAAAATGCTTAAAAAAAAAAAAAAGACTAATGAAAGACATACATAAGATAAATAAGCCAAGTACAGTTACTCCCAGCTACTCAGCTACTCAGGAGGCTGAGGCAGAAATATCACTTAAGACCGACACAAGTTTGAGACCAGCCTAGGATGCCTGTCATTAAAAAAAAAAAAAATCACTGAGAGACTGTGGCACTTTCTAAGTAAATGACCATGGCTGTGGGTGAAGAGGAGATACCATTTCTGCCAAGAATTTCACTGACATTACTGTATTTGGTTAAGACATTTCATGTCTACATTCACATATCAAGTTAAGTTTAACTGACAAGTGAGAGTTTCAGACTCATTCCAAATGCATAGGTGGGGGAAATGCAAAGTTTAAAAGAGTCACCTATTCCCTATTTGCATCCATTTCCCATCTGTTTTTCACCTCAAACTTAGCTCAACTGCCATTCTTAGAAGATAGGCCAGAACTCAGGGGAAGACGGATCACATTCCTCTATGGTATTATGCATCTATATTCAAGGCTCAGTCAGGTACTCTGCAAATTCTGGCTGAATTAAAAGTACAGCAATCATTTCCACTATCTTGTGTTAAAAAGTTTGAGAACCACCACCAGAGTGCATCATCAACCAAGTTTTAAGAGAGTAAGAAAAAAGGGGTGAAAAATAGCTTGTACATTTTTTTTTTCTTAAAATTTTTTAGTTGTTGATGGAACTTTATTTTATTCATTTATTTATATGCAGTGCTGAGAATCGAATCCAGTGCCTCACGTATGCTAGGCAAGCACTCTGCCACTGAGCTACAGCCCCAGCCCTAGCTTGTATATTTTTAAGTATCAGAAAGGTAATGAACAAACTTCTGGCTCGGAGTTAAGAAATATTTAAAATACAAAACAGAACTTGTCCTTTTGTTTTCCTTTTCAATTTATCTCAGTCCATAAAATGAAGTATATAGGATCCTAGACAAATACCTGAAGTTGATCTGCCTGGTACTTCCTCCCAGAATAAGCGTTTAGGTATTCACACAGACTGAACAGAAACTGCTGAATATCAGTCTGTAAGTATTTTGCAGCAATTTTCTCTAAAGGAATGAATACTGGGATGGAATGATGATGGATTCGGAGTGGCTTCTGTATGACAAGGTCCACAAAATAGGAATCTAGTAGGTTCCCCTCAAAAGCAGTGCTGATACAGACACAGGCTCCACGGCTGGTCACTTTTCCACTGAGCCCTGAAGCAAATATAAAGCGATACCAATCAACAGATGCTGGCAAAGGTAGTACCTTATTCATATGAGCATACTGGTAGCTTGCATAAGCCTGGCATATGTGCCCAAATGCTTCTTGAATGTATAAATATCAGCAGCTCCTCCCCTTGATTCTGGCTCATATTAAGACTGAGTTGTAAAAATCATGGAAGAGTGGGAAGGAAAAGACACCCTAGCCAGGTGTGAGGGTGCATGCCTATAATCCCGGCAACTGGGGAGACTAAGGCAGGAGAATCCTGAATGTTCAAAGCCAGCCTGGGCAACTCAGTGCCCCAGGTTCAATCTCCATTACCACAAAAAAAAAAAAAAAAAAGAAAAAAGAAAAAAGACACACTAAATATCAAACTATTCAGGAAAATTTCTGGAAATTTTCTTTTTCTTTCTTTTTTTGATAATACTAGGGAAAAAACCCAGGACCTTGAACATGCTAGGCAAGAGCTGTCTCACTGAGCTATATACCCACGTTACCTTTTCTTTTTTACATGAGTGTCAAATAATTTGTGATAACCCCATTCTTCCCACAATCCTCTTGTATCATAAATGGGAGAATAAATCCCCATCTATGCTGAAACAGAGATATAAGGAATTCAAATTATCACGACCAACAGCACAAAGCAGGCCAACAGTAAAGAAAATTCAAGTATAGGGTCTGGCACATGATGACTTGCTAAAATGAATGGTCTCAATCTGTACAAAGAAACCAATCTTACAGGTAAACATGCCTGTTAAACAACACACCAGCTTTCTATGTGTGTGTATGATGCAAGAAGGGACTACAAAACAAATTCTCAGGAACTAGTCCAGGATTAAAACACATGTAGCACCCTAATTCACTAGAGACAGGGACCCAGGATGAGTTCAGCCCAGGAAATACTATACCTGTAAAATGATATGCTTGCAGAATGGCTTTCATGGTTTCCTGGTTTCTTTCCAAAACATCTTGCTCACTGATCTCTGCTGTTTGGTCAGGTTCTATGTTGGCAAAAGATGCTTTATCCTGCAAGATATGCAGCAAATCAAATTGGATAGTGAAGGGTATTACCACAAGGTCCCTGCCCTCACCTAACTGGATAAAAGCAAAATGCAGAGTACTTCCTATTATGTAAAGCATCAAGACTGTGGCCACTCAATTGGTGCTGTGAATTCACAGAAGTAGAATCTGTGGGTCATGGTGTCCTAGAAGAGTAGAAACTACTAGCTAAAGAATAGTTAGAGTTTGGGTGGAAATGAAGAAGACTGGGCGGGGGGGGGGGGGGCAGCAGGAAGGGTGTGAGGAACATCTAGGATGAGAACTGGGTGGGCAAAACAGATAGCTGTGAAGAGGCTAAGCCAGGAAAGCTGTTCTGAGGCTGCAAGATTTCAAATGCAGGATTTCAAGACTTGCACTTCTAGCCACAGCCCAGCAGAAGGTATAGGCTGAAATTCCCTCTGAGAACTATGCAAGCTGAATAAAATAGCAAATATAAATAAGCAAGCAAGGAAACTGAAAGATAGTCTGAAGGCATTAGGGAACAATCCAAACAGCCAGGATTGAGGAGTAAAGATAAATGCTATGAAGTTATCTGGCTCTCTCTGCAGCGTTTCCTTTCAGACAATTTGCTTATTTGTATCTCAAGGTACAAGGCCTGGACAGGAAGCTATAGGCTACATTTTACATTTCATGGCAGTTTCAGTATAGGGAGAACAAAGACTGGAAACCAGTGTCACCAAAGCAGCCTTTCTATGGGCCAAGAGTCCACAGAGAAGGGAGTCCTACATTCTGCATGCAATTTGCCCTCTTGGCACTTGCTAATTCCTGAACAGTGCACATGTGACTTGGAACTAAGAGACTACATGAAAAGAAGTTGCTAAGCAGAGATTTTTGACAGAACAGAGGTTGGAGTTTAAGGCCTGCCAAGGAAAAGGGGCTTTGGTAGACGTGTCCCCAAAACACTCTCAAACTTTCAATCGAGGGCCCTAGAAAAGGGCTACATCCTAAGAGGAAGGGCAAACGGAAACTAGACCTCAACTAGATCAAGGTGATCTATCCATAGGCTATCTGCCTGCCAGAAAAAAAGTCAATCAAAATATTGCCAGGGATACTGGAAAAAGAGAAACAGATGACTGAAAATCATGAGGAAAAAGAAGATAACAGAAACAGATTTAAGGGATGCTGCTATCTGAGTTACCAGGTACAGCCAGTAAAACATGTTAAAAGATGGAGAACACATATCAAAGAGCTGGAATCTCTAACTGTGTGTGTGTGTGTATATAAAATTTTAAAAATCTTACATATAAATCAGATGGTAATCTTAGAACAAAAAAATACAGTAACAGAAATAAGGAATTTAATAGAGGTAAAAGCCAACTAAATAGTAAGAAAAAGTGATAAAGGAAACGAAACAGATAAAAGTTTATAACCTGATTAAAACAAATATGAAAAAAAATGGATTAGAAAAATCAGTAAAGATATAAGTCACAGAAACAACAAAACCAACCAACCATACCATGGGAGTCCAAAAAGAAACAGAAGAAAGAATGAGATAAACACATTATTTGAAGAGATAGTAGCCAAAATTTCCAAAATGGATAAAAAATGTCAACTAATGATTTAAATTCTACAAACATTAAGCAGAATAAAGAAAACAATGTCTGACATGATATAAAACTGCTGAAAATCAAATAAAATCATAAAGTCTGAGGGGGGGGGGAAAGACACATATTAAAAAATAAGACTAATTGGACCTATAAACAATGATATATTTGAATTATGAATAAAAATAACTTCCAATCTATAACTCTATACTCTGCAAAAAAATGCTTAAAATTTTAAAATGCAATGAAATAAAGATGTTTTCAGACAAAAATAGAAAATGTACTGCCAGCAGATTTATACTAAAAACACCAAAAGGAGCTACTTGCATGAAAGAAAATAATCCCACATGGAACTATGAAAATGCAAGAAGTAACAGAGTACTGGAAGGGTTAGCTATGTGTATGACTCCAAAGGGATATGGACTATAGAAAACAAATTGCACAATGAAATCATAATAACATGATACACTGAGATGTGGGTGATTACATTAAAAATTCGTAGACTAAATACTCCACAAGACTGAGCCAGGTGTGGTAGTACATGCCTATAATCCCAACTACTTAGGAGATTGACCTGGGCAATTCAGTGAAATCCTGTCATAAAATAAATAAAAGAACTGAGGGTGTAGCTCAGAGGTAGAGTACACTAGGATTCAATCCCCAATACTGAAGAAAAAAAAGGACTAAGACAGGCTAAATTAAAACCATTTAACTATATGCTACTTATAAGAGGAATACTTTAAATATAAGGGTATTGAAAGACTGAGCAGGAAGAAATGTTTAAGATGCAAACCCTAACCAAAAAGTTGTTAGTCTGTGGGTGTGGTTCAGTGGTAAAGGGCTTGCCTAGCATAAGGCCCTGAGTTCTATCCTCAGCCCTGGAAAAAAAGAAAAAAGTTTTACTAACATTTTACAAAGATCTAAAGACAAGATCTTTCACAAAAAAAAAATGATAAGCAACATTTCATAATAAAAGGTTAACTCAACCAAGAAGATATAATAATCCTAAATTTGTACCTAATACAGAAAAAGATAAAGAAGATCCATAATAACAGGGGAAGATTTTAACAAATCTAATCTCAGTAACTGATAAAATAAGTAAATCAATAAGGATATAAGACATTTAATGTTCAACTTCTCTAGCAACTAGAGAAATGCAATTAAAACTACACTGAGATTTCATCACTCCAGTCAGAATGACAATTATCAAGAATACAAGTTAACTGGGCTGGGACTGTGGTTCGCAGTAGAGTGCTGGCCTAGCACGTATGAGGCCCTGGGTTTGATCCTCAGCACCATATAAAAATAAATAAATAATGGCAATGTGTCCAACTACCACTAAAAAATAAATATATTTTTAAAAAAAGAATACAAGTTAACAATAAAAGTTGGCGAGGACATGGGGGAAAAGGCACACCCATATATTGTTGGCGGGACTGCAAATTGGCCCAACCACTCTGGAAAGCAATATGGAGATTCCTCAGAAAACTTGGAATTGAACTACCATTGACCCAGTTATCCCCTTCTTCAGTATGTACCAGGGACTTAAAATTAGCATAGTACAGTGACACAGCCACATCAGTGTCCACAGCAACTCAATTCACAATAGTTAAGGTATGGAACCAACCTAGGTGCCTTTCAACAAATGAATGGATATAAAGAAAATGTGGGATATATACACAATGGAATATTACTCAGCTGTAAAAAAAGAATGACTTTATAACTTTTGCTAGTAAATGGATGGATCTGGAGACTATCATGCTAAGTGAAATAAGCCAATACTAAAATACCAAAGACAAAAAATTTTCTCTGATATGTGGATGCTTAGGCACAATAAGGGGGAGAGGGAACAAGAGAAGTTCATTGGAGGGGGGATGAGAATACGAAAGACAGTAGAATCAATCAGACATAACCTTCCTATGTTCATACATGAATATACCACAGTGAAACTCCACATCATGTACAACCATAAGAATGGAATCCTAAGTAGAATAAATTATACTCCATGCATGTACAATATGCACTCTACAATCATATATATCTAAAAAACCAAAAATAAATAAATAAATTTAAAAAGTAAAACAAATTTAAACATGATGAACACATTTGATACATATAGAATATAGTATAAAACAAATGCAAAATCCATATTCAATATACATGAAGTATTTATCAAAACTGATCATGTGATGGGTCATATTCTCTCACCATAATAGAATTAAGCTGTAAATTGGATCTAAAACAAATAACTAACAAATACCCAAAGTTCTGGAAATTAAGCAGTACACTTCTAAAACCCACAGGCCAAAGAAGATATCACAATGGACAATTAAATCTCTTAAGTTGAAATGATAATGAAAATAAGAAAACTTGTGGGATGAGTTAAGGCCGTGTTTAACAGGAAACTTATGACCTTAAATAGTATGAAAGAAGACAGTAAGTATGCTTCCAAGAAGCTAAAATAAAGTAACTTAAATCCAGAGCAAGTAGAGCGAAAATAGAGAAGAGAGAAAGATGACAAAGCAGAAAGTTGATTCCCGAAAAGGTACAAAAGTGATTAAACATAACAAAGCTAAGGGGGAAGAGAGTGAAATGAGCCCAAATTACTAATATCAGAACAAAAAATTAGACTGTTTTACTTGTTAAAAAAAAAAAAAAAGTTTCAGGGGCTGGAGTTGTGGCTCAGTGGTAGTGCACTTGCCTGGCATTGCATGAGGCCCTGGGTTCTATCCTCAGCATGGCATATAAATACATACATACATACATAAAATGAAAGATCCATTTACAACTAAAAAAAATATTTAAAAAAGTTTCAGACATATGAGAATAAAAATGAATGAAAAAATTCTTTGAAAAACACAACTTACCAAAAGTGACCTAAGAAGAAATAGGAAATAGATTATAAATTAATAGATTTACACTGATCAATTAAATTGAATCAGAAATTAAAAGTCTTACAGCTGGGGTTGTGGCTCAGTGGTAGTGTGCCTGCCTAGCATGTGCAAGGGCCTGGGTTCGATCCTCAGCACCACATAAAAGTAAATAAATAAATAAAATAAAGGAATTGTGTCCAACTACAATTAAAAAAGAAAAAGAAATTAAAAGGCTTCTCACAGAAAAGGCCCACCAGGGAATTTTTTTACAAAATTTTAAGGGAAAATAACACCAATTTTATATAAACTCTTTCAGAGAATAGAAAAAGAAGAAAAATGTCTCAACCTGCTCTTGTGACACCAGTCCCAGAAAAAATGGTGAAAAAAATAAGGGCAATCTCTCTCATGAATTTAGATGTAAAAGTCCTATTAGCAAATGGGACTTTTTTTAAATATATAACTTAGAATTATATAAAAATGATAATACATCAAACCAGTTAGGTTTATTCCAAGAAAGCACAGGTGATTCTCAAACATCAATTAGTGTATTTCACACATTAATAAAGGACAAAGCTGGGGTTGTGGCTCAGTGGCAGAGTGCTTGCCTAGCATGTGTGAGGCACTGGGTTCAATCCTCAGCAGCACCACATAAAAATAAATAAATAAACAGAAGTATCCTGTCCATCTACAACAAAAAGTATTTTTTTTTAAAAAAGGACAAAGTCATAGGACCACCTTAATATATACAGTAGAAAAAAGTCATGAAATTAAATACTTGACCATGGGATTAAAACAGCAAATTAGAAATACAGAATATTTCTTTAATTTGATAAAAGGTACAGATTTAAAGCAAAAAGACTGACCCCATGACTCTATTCAACATAGCAGAGATTGTAGCCAGTGGATTAGGCAAGAAAAACAAAAGTTCCAAGGATTAGAAAGGAAAAAATAAAACTAAGTGTTTGCATATGACATAATTCCAAATGTAGAAATTCTCCAAACTAGAAAGAAAAACTATTAGAATATGTGGATTTAGCAAAGTTGCCATATATAAGATCTGATGTATTTCTATATAATACAACTAGGAATAAAACTTCTAAAAGATAATACCATATATCAGGGTCATCAAAAGTGTATTTTATGGGTGAAACCCAGCCAGATGCTTGATTTATAAATAAAGTTTCACTGGCTAACACCACACCCATTTTTCATACTGTCTTTCATGCTACAACAGCAGAGCTAAACAACTGCCATAGAGATCATATGGCTCACAAAACCTAAAATACCTGGCCCTACACAGGAAAATTCTGCTGATCCCTGCAAATACATAAGGTTTAAAACCTCTACACATAAAACTATACATTAGTGAGAAAAGTCAACTAAAATTAAATGGAAAGATATACCATGTACACTGACTAGAAGATGAAGTACTGTAAAGAGGCAAGTTCTCCCCAAACTGACCTATAGATTTAGTATCATTACAATAAAAATGAAGAGGTTCATTTTTGAAAGTGACAATCGATTCTCAAATTTATGGAGAATCCCAGGAGTCAAGAAGAGAAAAGATAATTCTCAAGAGAACATGTACTATGGGTATCAACACTTATAGCAAATAAACCTCTGGCTGTGGCAAAGATGAACAAATAGAATATAACAGGCCATGAGAAGTCTTTTTATTTTTCTTTTCTTTCTTTCTTTTTTTTTTTTTTTGCATTACTGCCAGGTTTCTGTTCGAGACTAAAAGGCTCAGGGGTTGCTCCAGTTAAATTGGGCTAATTGGGCTGTGCAAAATAACCACACAAGAGACACAAATACCTTTTTCTTTGGGGTCGCTGTGATGGCTCCTCTGACCTTAAGGGTCTGCAAGAAGAGAGAGTGAGAGCACGCGCTGACCCTTTTTATTGAGGAGAAGCTATTCAAATGAGGCAAGGGGTCAGGTTTCAGGGGGCTGAATCTATCTTCATGATGTCCACTGTCAGCAGGTTGACTGACACCTGGGTAGGCCATACCCAAGGGCACAGTAAGAGAAGGGGACACACACAAGGCATTTCCATGGAAGATTCTATCCTAAACAGGGCAGGGGTTATATTACAAAGGAACAGGTGAGAATAGCTTCACCCATGGGCTGTAGCAAGACACACCCATGCACAACAGACACCAACTCTCAAACCCAAGAAGGGTGGGGAAAGCTCTGCCACATTTCTGTGACTGAGTGCCTCAGCACCCAGCTGAGGAGTGTGACCCAGTCACGTGCAAGGTTGGTCTCCCACACATTACAATTCTTATTACATGTATACAGCACAATTTTTCATATCTCTGGTTGTATATAAAGTATGTTGACACCAATTTGTGTCTTCATCTTATGTACATTGGATAATGATGTCTATCACATTCCACCATCCTTGCTAATCCCCTACCTCCTCCCTTTTCCTCCCACCCCTCTGCCCTATTTAGAGTTCATCTATTCCTATCATGCTCCCCAACTTCCCTACCCTACTGTAAGAGAAGTTTTTTCAAGAAGTGTTGGATGAACTGCATATCCATATTGGGGGGGGGGGGGAGACAAGAAAAGCAGCAGGACTTCTACCACACAATGCACACAGAAATTTACTCTAAGTAGACTGTAATTCTAAAGCAAAAGAGGATACAATAAAGCTTAAAATAAAGAATATAGGGCTGGGGATGTGGCTCAAGCAGTAGCGCGCTCGCCTGGCATGCGTGCGGCCCGGGTTCGATCCTCAGCACCACATACAAAGATGTTGTATCCGCCGAAAACTAAAAAAAAAAAAATTAAAAAAAAATTCTCTCTCTCTCTCTCTTAAAAATAAAGAATATAACACAGAATATCATCTTGATCATAAGCTAGAAAAAAATTAAACAGTACACAAAGAGCACAAAACATAATTCCTGAACTGAATTTCATTAAACAGAGAATGTATTTTCATCACGAGACACCATGACAGAGTAAAAAGGCAAGCCACAGTGCAAGGGAAAATTCTAACATATATACTCAAAGAAGAACTCATATCCAAAATATGTAAAGACTTCTATATTTAATAACAACAAATAAAAATGTACTTAAGCCTGAAAAAGCACACTTCACAATGGAAGATTTTTAGTGTTTAATTGTACCTTAGTATCCAAAGGGGACTGGTTCTAAGACCCCCTTTGGATACCCAAATCTACGGATGCTTAAGTCCCTTACATAAAATGTCATAGTATATGCATATAATGTACAAACTTCCTGCCATGCTTTAAATCACCTCTAGATTACTTATAATACTTAATATGAAAAATATGCAACATTATATAACAGTTATTATACTGTATCATTTAGAGAATACCATAATGGCAAGAAAAGTCTGACTGGGCACAGTGGCATATGCTGTAATCCCAGTGACTTGGAAGGCTGAAGCAGGCAGTTCACAGTTTGAGGCCACCCTCAACAACTCAGTAACTTAGAGAGATCCCGCCACAAAATAAAAAATAAAAATGGCTGGGAACATAGCTCAGTGGTAAAATACCCCTGGGTTCAATCCCTACCACCCTCCACCAAAAAAAAAAAAAAAAAATGTGTGGACATGTTCAGTACGGATGCAATTTTTTTTCTTGAACATTTCTGATCCATCATGGCTGGGTGAATCCACAAATGTGGAACACATGGATACAGAGGACTCTCTATATATAAAATCATAAGTGATCAGGCAAATACAAATTAAATCCACAATGAGATACTCCCACCAGAATGACAGATTTTAAAACTGATAAAACCTATGGTAAAGATACAAAGCAACAGAAATCTTATAACATACTCGGAAATGTGAAACTGGCACAGCGTTTTCAAATACTGGCAGAATACATGCCCTATGTCTCAGCAATTCTACGAGGTGTCACCTAACAGAAAAGTGTGTATTTTTATACTAAAGGAAAGGAGTAAGAATGTTCATGGCAACAATATTCATTATCATCCCCAAATGAAGCAACCCAAATGACCCATTCGGTATCAACAGAATAGGTGAACTGTCCTATATTCATAAAACAGGATTATTATATGGCAATAAAAAGAATTACCACTCATGCAAATAGATGAATCTCACAGACACAACATTTAGTAAAAGAAGTCAGACACAAAAGAGTTGATACTTTTTATAGTTCAAAAACAGGTAAAACCGGATATCGGTGACAGGAATCAGAATAGTGGTTACTTCAAAGAAATGATTAGGAAGAGGCAAAAGGGAGAATTCTGGGGTACTGACAAAATTCTACACTTTTGAGCTGTGTGGTAGATAACTGGTTGTGTTCACTCTGTAAAATATTCATCCTATTTGTGCACTTTGTATAGTTTATTTTAATAAAAAAACAAAGGAGAGAAGGGAGTTAAGAAGAAAAATGCAAAGGGAGTTAAGGAAAGGGGAGGGGAGAGAGGGAAAGAGAAATGGCAAGAAAAAGATGAAAGCCATGTCATCCCAGAGGCATACTGATGGTACCTGGGCAAGGAACAGTTTGGTGTTTTGTGACATATACAGGATTAGAAAAGTAGAAGTCCTAGAAGAGACCCCAGCTAGCAGATACTACAGTAATCCTAGTGTCCAATTCTAGATAAAATTTTACTACATATATGGAAAATACTTGAGCTATGGCAATGAAGGGAGTAAATATAAAGACACATAAAGGAAAAATTGACAGGTCTTGCCGACTGGACCTTGGCTACAGAATAAATTGACAAGAAGGGAGAGTTGATGTTTCCTGTGAGATTTTGAGTGTGAGTGACAGAAAGATGGCACTACTGTCAGAAATACAAATGACTCAAGTCTGCTGAGATTGGGGTAAGAGGCTTAGATGTCTGTAAGGATGGGGGAATGTTATAAAGAATGTGCTGGGCCCATCATAATTACCTGACAACTGTAGTTGATAATCAGCTGTAACTAAAGATCTGACCATTTGAAGCATTAAAGACTGAAAACAATATGGTAAGATCACAATAAAACATATTATACAAATTTGTCAATACTTGGATTACTACTATTCTTTATACCCTAAAAAGTCTGCCAACATTACCCTTCGACTCACTCTGGCTTGTCGTTGCTTCACTTCAGCCCTTAGTTTATCTCGAATGTGCCTCAGTTGGTGAATCTTGGTTTCAAGAGCACTTTCCTCTGGTTGAGCTCTCTGCAGTTCTTCAGATTCTTTATGGGATTTGTTCGCCTGAGCCTCTAATCTTTCCAAGTGGGCTAAAACGCCTAAGGAAAGTAAAAAGGGAATTTCACAAGAAGACAAGGTTTTCTATTTCCACCAACAGCAAGCACTTCAAGAAGGAACAGAGGGTGTCTCTTTTTTCCAGAACTTTGTGGCCAGCTGAATTGTTAGAGGATCTGACAACTAAAATCAAAGATCAACCTTTTGGGTTAGACACTGATATAAAAATAGTTCCTTACCAGGTCACTATTCAAAGAGAACAAGAGAGAGAATCTGATTTATCTATTTCATGTTTTCTAGCCAGCAGTATGTTATCTAGGCCTACATAATATCACAAAAGCACATCTCTTTGTGGAAAAGGATGCTTCAACAGTTTTACCAGTCTAGATGAAATCTCCCTTACACAAAGTCTATACTTTTTAACTACCATACTTCATTTTAATTAGGTTTCTGAAGTAGATCCAACATCTGTGTTGTAGGGTTCATAAGCATATACACACATGAGAATCGTTGAGGGAGAAAGTCCAAAAACTTATCTCATTCATCTATCCAATAAAGACTAGACATCTTCCTAGGCTTCATGGTACATGCCTATAATTCCACTACTTGGAAGGGTGAGGTAGGAGGATCGCAAGTTCAAGGCTAACCTCAGCAATTTATCAAGACTCGGTCTCAAAATAAAAAGGTGTGGGGATGTAGCTCAATGGTAGAGCACTTGCCTGGCATCTCAAGGACCTGAATTTGGTCCCCAAAACCAAAAAAAAAAAAACCCCAAAAAACAACTAGACATATAGACTCCCTGATTCCCTTATGGTTGGTATATATCCCACTGAAAAGAAAAACTAGCATGAGATACAAATAAAAATACAATACACAGAATAGCCATATTTCATTTGTATTTCTTACCATTACTTATTGACTCCTATCTCCTCTTGTTTTCTCAGGAGCCTCAAATTATATTATCCCTTTTCTCTGCTGTATCTATTTCCTCTCAATTGACTCCTTCCACAGATCTCATTCCATTAGCAAAAAGGTGGTAAAATTACCAAGCAGAGGGCCCAAACCAGTATGGGTAACAGCTAAATGTTTAAATATTATTTGGGAAAGACAATAAAAAAATTATAGAATTACCCTTTGACTGGTCTAGGTGATGATCCAAAACTTCCATATCATCACTTATTATTTTTTTTATTTATATATGATTGCGGAATGCATTACAATTCTTATTACACATATGGAGCACAATTTTTCATATCTCTGGTTGTATACAAAGTATATTCACACCAATTCATGTCTTCATACATGTACTTTGGATAATAATGATCATCACATTCTAACTCCATACCCCCTCCCTTCCCCTCCAACCCCTCTGCCCTATCTAGAGTTCCTCTATTCCTCCCATAATCCCTCTCCCTAAATCACTATGATTCAGCCTCCTTATATCAAAGAAAACATTTGGCATTTGGTTATTTGGGATTGGCTAACTTCACTTAGCATTATCTTCTCTAACTCCATCCATTTACCTGCAGATGGCATGGTTTTATTCTCTTTTATTGCTGAGTAATATTCCATTGTGTATACATGCCAGTTTATCAACACTTATTTTGAGGTTTTTTCTTTTTTTCTGTTTTAATATTTATTGTTTTTAGTTCTCGGCAGACACAACATCTTTGTTTGTATGTGGTGCTGAGGATCGAACCCGGGCCGCACGCATGCCAGGCGAGCGCACTACCACTTGAGCCATATCCCCAGCCCTCAACACTTATTTTGAAAGAAACAAAATTAGGCCTAGACTAGAGACTTCTAATTGTAGCATGTGTCACCAAACTTATTTTTAGTTTTGAAGTAACAATTAATCTTAACCCAAAGACTATTTATTATCTAAAGTCTCAGCATAAGCTTTCTGAGTATGGCTTTCAGTCATCTATGATAGTAAGGACTCAGAGGAAAACAAGGATACTAAAATCACCTGACTTTCTCAGAAACTGCATACTCCTTAAGAGTCAAGACACACTTGAAGCTCTAAAAAATAGCACAGAACTAGAAAAGCACAATAACAAGAATTGCTCACAAATACTACTGGGTATTAAAGAGGACAGTTAAAGCAACCTCACTTCTGGACAGAAACAGAGAGGCAAATTTCAGTATCCAAAAGACTAAGCACTCATGTATTAAAGTTCATTGTTTCATAATGGCAATCAACTCCAAAATAAAGTATTTGTTGAACATTGCTTACATATTAAGACATCTGTGCTAGATGCTTTACTTATACAGCATGTAAAAAAGTATGTATATAACATCCACAACCAACACAACAATGCTACTATTCATCTCCATGTTCCAGATGAAGAAATTGAGGAAGAAAACTATACAGTAACTCACTCGAGGCCGCAAACTCTATAAAAGCAGAACCAGACATAAAATACAGGTCTAAGCAATATCCATTCACAGCCCCACACTGATTTCCCCTCAGAAGTAATGCATTAAAAACAAAACAAAACCAATCTGGAAAGAGATCTCACTGGCTACAGCTGCGACTCTGTATGTAAACACTGGTATATCATCAACGCAACCTATCAGTTTCAGAAGGAGGCGCCTAGAAACACCAAGTAATTCTTTTTCCTGTTCTTGGCTGCTGTTCTTTGGAATCTTCGACGTTAGCTGCTTTCACCATTCTAACCCTAAGCAGGACTGCACACACCAGTTATAGGAAGGAAAAGGCTTTCAGCGTGCGGGTTACCTGAGGCAGCACCACTAAGGGGACAAAAGCGAATTTTAAATACCTCCTGTGGACACACCGTCTTGACATAAAGTGTGTGCGCGCTCCATCTCCTCCTCAAATTCCTGTTTTCCTATGAAGTTTTCCAGTGAAGTCTAATGAAGTCCTTAATGATAGAAGAAAAACAGCAACAAGTCAGACCCATGCCCGTTTGGACTCGCCCTCTGGGCTCCGAGAAAACCCACTAGTCCCCGAGGGACTCACCTCTCCGCCCCCAGGGCGCGGCCCCTCAGGCCCAGCCCGGGAGCTTTTTAAAGTCCACACCCTAGTTACCTGCCAGGGGCTCCACAGGCCTTCCATTCACCTTCCTCTCTTCCTCACCAAAGTCTGGGAAAAGAATTCCCGCCGTCCCGCCTTCAAACACCAGCGTCAGTCCCAGCGTGCTTTGCGCTCCTTCCGTACAAAAACATGGCAGCGCTCAGGGCCCCTCCCCGATCCCAGGATGCACCGGGGAACAGGCCTGGCCGCTCAGGTTGTTAGGAAGATGGCGTCCTCTGGGGCGGAGCCGCAGATCCTGGTACAATACTTGGTGCTTCGAAAAGATCTATCGCAGGCTCCGTTCTCCTGGCCAGCGGGCGCACTGGTAGCGCAGGCTTGTCATGCAGCTACCGCAGCATTACACCTTCACCGCGACCACCCGCACACCACGGCTTACCTTCGCGAGCTGGGGCGCATGCGTAAAGTGGTTCTCGAGGTGAGGCACCCAGGCCAAGGGAGGGACTTTGAGGACGCCGAGACCGGAAGTGGGTGTGGTCTTGAGGCCTAACTCTGTGGGGTAGGTGTGGTCTGAGTGCGGAGGAATTTCTAACTTTTAGACTTTGGAAAAGGTTTTGGGACTTGGGTTGTTACACGAGGAGCTCTCCCTTGCACCTTCACATCCTCTGGTTTGTGAAGAGTGGACATCTCGCTCGTTAGTAAGAACGGCTCCGCACCCTTCTGGTCTCACCGGAAACTGGTGGGGCCTGCGGAAACGCCTCCAAGGGAGAATGGCGGAGCGAGTCCTTCCCTGCCTACTTGTGCATTCGCCTTTCTGCGTCCGCACTGGCCAGCCTTGTATAGCTGTCCTCAGATGTAATGCCGCCTAGGTAACCAACTCAGAAGGGATGTGGACACAAAATTTCCTTTTCGCTTTGGATACAGAAGTAAAGTGAAGTATGCATTTACCTAGGTGTGACACCACACTATTTGTAAATAGATGTTTGAATAGCATCAGTTGAACCTAGCATCGGAAATACCAGACACCGGGGGTGTAAATCCGCACACCTTGAAAAACAGCGGTAAGGTCTAGATAGCCAAACAGATCTTAGTTACCCTTTGACTCGCAGTTCTGCTGGAAGCCCTGTATCTCTTTAAAAAACAAAACAAAACAAAACAAAAAAAACAACAACAACAAAAAAAAAACAGGTGCAACCAAATAGCTTTGAGCAGAATTTTTTTTTTTTTTTTAGGATTATACATTCCCTGATTTATTCAATAGTTTTTAGTACCTTATTGTAGGCTAATTAAGATGATGACAGAGATGTAAACAGGAATACATGAAGCGTTTTCCTTGTCTTCTAGAAGTCATTCTGTGGTCTTCAAGTCACTTTCTCTTCCCCCAAACCAGTGTTACCCAGAATTTTCACTCTCAGTTAATGACCACTTCATCTATCTTTTAAGTATTCAGGTTCAAAACCTTGAAATTATCAATGTTGACACATTTTTCTCCCATACCTCATTTCCGACTACTCAGAAATCATGTTGCTTCTAATTTCAGATTATAATAGAATCTGACAAATTTCTTAAAATTTCTGCTATAGTTTGAGCTTCCTTAAATGTCCCCTAACGGCCTCTGAATTAAAGGTTTGGTCCTGTTTTGTGTACTGGGAGGTAGTAGAAACTTTAAGGGATAGGACCTCATGGGAGCCTTTAGGTCATGGGGATGTGTCCTTAAAGGGGATACTGAGACCCGGACACCTCCTCTTCCTAATTTTTACTTCATGAGGTGAGCAGCTTTCCCTGCTACATTCTCCTCACCATAAGCCCAAAAGCAATAGGGTAAATTGGCCATAGACTGAAACTTCCAAAACTATAAGCCAAAGTTAATCTTTCCTCTTTTTAAGGTGATTATCTCAGATATTTTGTGACAGTATAATCTTCTCTAACACTCTAGTCCACAATTCCTTCATTTTCTCCCTTTGCTATCAATGCAGTCTCCTTTCTGGCCCTTTTAACTTCATTTGTGTCTCTTTATACATAATTTTCAACGTGGCATATTTCAGCTTTGTGGCTTTTGTATTTGTTCTTCTCTTGGTCCAGAATGTTATTCCCCTAGATATTCTTATAGCTTTGAGCAGAGATTTTCAAAGGAGCACTTTGTACTGGTGAAAAATGTAGAAATAATAAATTTCTAGTGCTAGACTTGGTTAATTTGTGCCCTTATAAAGTATTATTATATAAACAGCTGAAATCATGTTTGAAGTGTATTTAATGGCATATGAATGCAATTGATATGAAGCTAGTTGAGTTATATACACAGAATGATTTTAATTTTGAAAGGAAGTACATCTAAATATTCACTAGATGGTGGGATTTTGGTTATTTCCTTATATTTCTCTATATTTTTAAATTTTCTACATCAATATCTTGTAGTGAGAAAAAAAGTGCTTAAAAAAAAAAAGAACAGAACAGAACCCTGGAGTGGAGGGGTGGGATAGTTTCCTTCATGGATGGCTGACAAAGACAGTATCTTTCAAGAAAAAAAAAGAGAGAGAGAGAGAGATAGGCTGTTAGGTAGTGAAGCAGCAAGCAGTAGTCTTTACGAAAATGTCTTGGAACTCTGAGTACTCAGAAAAAAAGCAGACATTCTTTTCGTTTAGATTCTTTTTTATACAAAAACGGCTTCCAGAAATCTGGTTCAAGACTCCCATTCCTCAGACAAGACATCTGAAGCCCAAAGGAAACTAATAGACATCTATTTGATGATTCCAAAGTTGTTAGCCATGAATAAAGAAATGGACTTAGGAGTCATTTCTGATTAAATTGTAGTGCTCCAGTCGCTTTAAGGACCAATGAAATATAAGCCAGTGTCAAGATTAAGTATATCTATTGGTGTTTATTATGTACCAGTTACAGGTCTAAGCCTAATTTCACTGAATTCTCATTATCGCTAGGAAGCATTATCATCTCTTTTTCACAAAGGAGAAACAGAGGCCCTGCTGAGTCACATAACTTATTCAAGTTCACACAAGCAATAGTTGGTAAAGCAAGAGTTTGAAGTCCAGCAGTCTGATTCCAGAGACTTACCTATTATACTATGCTGCTGCCCAGAGCCACAAGGTGGGGAGGGGGAGGTGGCATTAGTGCCTCTAGCATGGCTTTACCTGAAGGCCTTAGCCAGATGAGTGACAATCCTAGCATTCACTAACTTGATAAAAGAAGCCTCCAGTTATCTTAGTGACGTCTGCCTTCATAGGCAAAAAATGTGTCTTATGCATAATTATACACTAATTTTCTGAGTTATAGTTTTAATACTTCCTGCAATGGGATTTTTGAAGTGGGTGATAGGGATGACCCAGAAATAATTTTAGAAAGGTGTTAGGGAATAGTTTATTTTCCCTTTCATTAAAAAAAAAAAAAAAGTGGGAGCTGTCCCAGCAGAAGGAAAATTTCTAGGCTTTGGGCCTAGTGGGATTGGAGAAGGAAGGTGTATGTAATTTTAGAAATCCTTCCAGTAATTAGCTCTTAAAGTCCTAGCTGGCCAAAGAATTAGGGATGGCTGTTGTGAATACCAATTGTAGGGGAGCTAGAAAATGTATGGGGCATACTTAAAACATCTCAAGAGGAAAGAGAAAAATCTCTATTTTGTTTATAGGACTATTAGGTTTCTCCCTGCCTCTCACCTCCCCAGCCACTTATCTAAGTCCTGCAGAGAGTGAATGGCAATCCAGAGAATGAAACTCTTGCTCCAGTTTTAGTTAAGAGAAATACACACACACCCTCGTATTTGTGGGCTTTTGACATTTTCTAAATGAGCTGCTCAATCTGTGCTATGTGTTCTATTCCTTGTAGGCTCCAGATGAGACCACCCTAAAGGAGCTGGCTGAGACCCTGCAACAGAAGAACATTGACCACATGCTGTGGCTTGAGCAGCCAGAGAATATTGCCACTTGCATTGCACTCCGACCATACCCCAAAGAAGAAGTGAACCAGTATTTGAAAAAGTTCCGATTGTTCAAATGACTGCTGCTTTGATATGGTTGAATATCAACTGGGCCAGAAATAGAATTCCATTCATCCCTGAGCATCATGTACTCCTTTTACTCTCAGCTTACTCTTCAGTTGTGGTTTCTTGAGAATCCCACACATGTTCGAATTAAAGTTGTCATTAATAAGTACTTCCTCCTATTATTAGCAAATAAGGAAAGTAATAATAATGAACAGCAATATTACCTATGGGCCATTGTCCAAATAGATTTAGTAGGGGATTAAATCCAATGGCACTCTTAACACTGAGCTTTTTAAATTTTGAGACAGTGTCTCACTAAATTTCCCAGGCTGATCTCCAACTTGCAATCCTCTTGCCTCAGCTTCCAAGTAGCTGGGATTACTGTTGTGTACTCCTGCATCTGTCTTTGAGTTCTTCTAATTACCCAGATTTAAAACTTTGCCTTTGAATTCTTTATTTCTTATTCCTATCTATATTTATATTTTTAAGACAACATCAACTTTAAGAAGAGGCATTGTTTTATGTATTGTTAAGAAATGCTACCAATGGGGCACAGTGGTACATGCTTGTAATCCCAGCAGTTTGGGAGGTTGAAGCAGGTTGTAAGTTCTAGGCCAACCTCAGGAACTTAACAAGACCTTGTCTCAAAATTTATGAGATTTTAAAAAAGCTGGGGATGTAGCTCAGTAGTAGAGCATCCCTGGTTTCAATCCCCAGGACCCCCTACCCACCCAAAAAACAAGACATGCAAATGACTTGTAAGATGTATTTCAATATCAAAAAAGTTTAAATACACACACACACACACACATTTATTACATTTGATGAAATTTGTCATGTACTATAGCTATTTTCTTATAATTCATGTGTTGCTACCACTCTGTATTAGGCTGTTTTGCTTATCAGAGTGGCCCACTTATCTGACTACCTCCAGTGTATCTTGGTATCTGTTCAATAGAGGCTACTGCGTGGCCATGGAATAATGCTGGAACTCCTTAGTTTAGCCTTCAGCTCTCCCCATTTATATTCCCCACCTTCTTTTTAGTTGAATATTCTCTTCCCTTATCCATACTCTGTGTTTCAACAGTTACTCTAGTTGCTCTTCTCCAGTCTCTAGTCTGGGAATAGAATGTGACTTTTCTTCCCCTCCCTTTTCCACTTCTGGATTTCACTTAAATTATTTGCAGCTCAAGTGCTATCACCTTCCTGAAGTCCTATTCAGCCAAAAGTGATTGTTCTTTTCCCTATACACCTATAACACTGTACAATGTTTAAAATATTGATATAAACATTTGGACACATCTACAGAAATCGCTTGAACATCATGAAGCAAAGTTCATAGGGTAATGTATTCAACAGAAACGCTGAATATCTGGTGTGGCAGCTATACTAAGAGCTGAAAATATTAAATGAGTGTTTGAACCAGTTCCCCCTGAGATTGTTAACTTATAAAGATAAAAGGCTTATTTCGGCTTACAGGTTTGAAAGTTCTAGTCCAAGACTGGCTGATTTACTGCTTTGAAATTCTGGTGGGGGTACTAGATGCAAAGGTGGGGAACAAGTGGTGAAGCAAACTGGTTGCCTCATGTCAGGAAGCAAGAGAATGAGAAGGAGGCTGGGGTCCCACGCTTCCCCTTTAAGGGCACACCCCAAATGACTTAAAGACCTCCCACTAGGCCCCATCTCTGAAAGGTTGGACCACGTCCCATGGGGCCACCCTAGGAACTGAGCCTTTAACTTATGGACCTTTGAGGGCCACTTACACAAACCATAGCATGAAAAGAGTTCTTGCCCTCAGGAAGCTAAGCATCTCATGTGAAGACAGATACAGATGATTACACAAAGAATTATATATCCCCTAGGTAATATTCTACTAGGACATTAGCTACGAAGATTTTCCTTTAAAAAAGTAGTCACCTGAGTGAATGAGGTCTCCCAGGGAGAACTGGTAGAGTGCCAAGGGCAGAGCCAACCCCAGGAAAGAGTGCTAAAAGTGACAAAATTTCATTAAATAGCAACTGAAAACTTAACAATTAGGATTGTATTGGCAAATTCAGTGAAAGCAGCTTAAATAGCATACTGAGGATGGAAATCAGATTGATCTGCTGAGACAAGAATGGGAGGGGAGGTAAGAACTGGGGACTGTCCTTTTAAGAACTTTGAAAGGGAAAAGAGGATGATGATTGGGGACTGGGAAGGTGAATGTTAGGTCCCATCAGGGAATTTTCTTTAATGTTTGAGTAAGTTGGTAGGTAAAGAGAAGGGGGTTAAGGAAAGGTGTTATGGTTTGGTTATGTTGTGTCTCCTAACATCTCCTGTTAATGCAGTAATATTCAGAGATAAAATCATTAGATTAAGATAGCTATAACCTAATCAGTTCATCCTGGTTTGAATGGGCTGACTGGTAGTAACTGTAGGTAAGAGGGGCGTGGATGGAGGAAGTGGGTCACTGGGGCATGCCCCAGAAGGGTGCATCTTGTGGCCTGTTCCCCCTACCCTCTCTGCTTCCTGACCCTGCCATGAGTTGAGCCACTTTCCTCTATTGGGTCTTTTCCCCTTGATGTGTTGCCTCACTTTGGGCCCAGAGAATTAGAGTCAGCTATCTTTGTACAGGGACACAGAAATTGTGAGCCCTAAATAAACTTCCTCCTCTCAGTTGTTCTTGTCAGATATTTTGGTCACAGTATGCAAAAGTTGGCTTAAACAAGAGGAGACATTATAGTTATTAAGTAAAATAATTGATAAAACAAGTCCAAAGATGCTGGGCTTAGTGGCACACTCCTATAATCCCAGCAACTTGAGAGGCTGAGCCTTGTAAGTTTCTGGCTAGCCTCAGCAACTTAGTGAGGCCCTAAGCAACTTAGCAAAACCCTGTCTCAAAAATAAAATTTAAAAAAGGGCTTGGGGATGTGCTCAGTGTTTAAGCGTTTCTTGCTTCAATCCTTGGTACCGGAAAAAAAAAAAAAAATCCAGAGAAAGTGGTGAGAGGTGGGTCAAGGATATAGGGAAGAACTGGACTTGAATTGAGAAAGAGGGGAATTTTTTTCTGTAGGAAAGACAGTAGGGGAGGGTATAGCTGTTCATAAATTCATAGTAGGGGAGGGTATAGCTGTTCATAGATTGGAGGAGGAAGAAAGTTGACATTGATCACACCTGTTGATTTTTTTTCCTATGAATTGGGAGGCATATAATCCTTCATAACATTGAATATACTTACTGTGCAATGTATTAAATGGCTTACCATAGTGGGAGGAACACAGGCTGTTAAACTGCCCGAGTCCACATATGTCTCCCATTCTTTCAAGTTCAATGAATTTTGGCAAACCACTCAACTTCCCTGAGCCCAATTTTCTCATCTGCAAAATAGAGATTTATAGTAGAGCTGTGTGGATTAAATGCATTGATTTATGCAAATCCCGTGACAGTGCCAGGGCACTTGGTGCTACAGCCTAAGTGTAGGAAGTTACATGAGACACCACCCCAAAGAGCCACCCTCAAAGAGCTCTCAATCAAATAAGCCAGTTGTCTAATTCCCTTTTTGCTGTCTGGGAGTGTTGCCATCCACAGATCTTCAAGCATTCCCTGATATTTCCATTCAAGCCAATTAGGAAAATTTCCAATTGACACTGCATCTTTAAAAAAATTTGTTTTAAATTTGATAATTCTGAATTCTTCAGTAAAACATAGTGATAAAAGAAGAGAGATGAGTGTCTGCACACATGCGGATACTACTCAGGCAAATCCCTAAAGCAGGGATCTGAGCACAAATGCCATAAACTTCGGCCAATGTGGGGAAAGGTCAGGCAGGCAGGTGAGTGAGAGAAAGAAGTAGGGAGCAACGGATTTTCTTATTACTATCAGCTTAGACTATTACTAGACCAGTGGTCCTCAAATGGTGGTATGGTCCCTTGGATTAGCATCATTGATCTTGTTAGAAATGCCAACTCTCAGGTCCCACTGAAGACCCATTGAATCAGAAACTCTGCTACTACCTGGAAGAAGTTGAGCCCCCCAAGGTAACCAACCTAAAAGGCAAACAATAAGTTTGTATAATTTGCTCATCAGAAGTGAAGAAATCTGGACCTAAGTATACTATACATCTGCCCCATGGGCTAAGGTCACAAAAAGTGATATATTCTCCAGTAGAGAAAAGATGATACTGTAAGCCAGAGGATAGATGATATATCCTTGAAAAGAATCTTCTATGCTCTGGTAAGTTTCTTATATTTGAAAAACATTTTATAATTAACAAAGTGCTTCCATTCTACTCAATTCTGAGAATTGTGTGATGCATGCAGTCTTGTTTCAGAGTTTACAGATTTGGAAAAAACTTTGACTTGCCCAAGATCACAGTCAGTGGCAAAACTGGGATTAGAAACTAGGTCTTTTATCAGTTCAATTTTCTTACCTTCTCACAGTTGGTTACTAATTTGGTCTGCCCCCCACCCAGATACTAGTTTAGAGGGTGGTTTGGAAAGGGGTCACTGGTAGTTCAAGCATAGGAAAGCTGTAGCTGTCATTTGAAACTGGTTAATTGACATTCTGGATTATAAATCAGCCTCCCGTGACTGTTAGTTGTGTGACTAGAGCCCCATTATCACTGGATGAGCTGACAGAATTGAGGTTCTGAATGTTGGAAGTCAGGATCCAAACTTAGGTCACGGCTCACTCACAGTGCTGACGGAATGCAGGGGCCTCCCCTACAGGGGCCTAGGAAAAGCCACCTCTGTTAGACTACAAGGCTCTGAGATGCTGTCCTGGGGTGTGCACCCCTTTCTGCTTCCTGGGTGAGAGTTTTAGTAATATGGAGCTATTGTTCCTGATGGGAAGGTGTTAGTGAGGAAAAATGGCTGAGAAGCATCACTCCTGGCTATGATCATTTTAGCTGTCCTCTGAGGTTAAGCTCAGCACAGCCCCAGATTCTCCTTCTCCAAGATCTGGATGTGGTAGGTTTTGAATGCTGGCCTAAGGCTGGATTGTAGCTGTGGGGGTTTTGCAAGGGCCAAATAAGTGGTGCCCAAGTTCTGAACCTAGGGTTGTTTGTGTGCTTTGGGGCTTTATTTTATTTTATTTATTTATTTTTGGTACTAGGGATTGAACCCAGGGCGCTTAACCACTCTCTCCTTTTGATACAGGGTCTTGTTAAGTTGCTGAGGCTGACTTTGAACT